ATGATACAAATGGGGCTATTGGAAATTATCAAAACGCCATTGATAGTTCGAAAAAAAAACTTCTTGATACTATTGGAAAAATTCTGAATGATCAGGGCCCTTGGAAGAAAAAACGCGAAAATGTTCCGCAAACGAATCGTGATTGCGCGGTCTATGTGCTCAACAGGTTAAAAAAAATCTTTAAAATTATTTGTTGCTTAAAATTATTTATAAAAATTATTAAAGAATTGAGCAAGAATTCAAAGCTGGAACACCAGAAATAACATCGTCGAATATTCTTGAGATCAAGGAAAATCAACTCAAAAAAATTAAGTATGGCAATATTAATAAATACAGTTCATAAATTTAAGTCATTGGGTGTGCAATAAAACAACTCCATCAAAAAGAGTCGCACAGCATTCAAGTGAAGTCAATGCTGAATCGAAAAGAGTCCGTTTTTCCTAATCTGGAAATATCACGATTACATTTTTTTTCCTCGTTGTTAAATACAAATATTCCTAATTGTTAATTCTTGTTTTTGAAATTCTCTTTTCTGTGAGTAAAAGAAAGGCAAAAGAAAGAAGAAATCAAATCATTGAATTCAGAATGCTTATAATTTTTTTTATTGCCCGTGTGACTATAAAATAAAACAGCCATTCTTCAATCAAATCCTGAAACACAGAAGATATTTAATATTTATCATCGATTCAAACTGTCTGTATGTTCTCATAACGGAACATGGGTGATGCCTCGACACAGGTCAGAAAAATGAGCGCAATATCTATGTTAGAAAAATGGAAAACTAGTTAATTGAAAAATTGTTTTCTCCATCTTAAGCGTAAAATATAAGATCGGCTGCCCGTTTAGCGCCCCGTCGTTATCTATTTTTCAGAGACCCGTCTAATCTGAACGATGAATTATATTCTTCGATTTTGTAGAGCTCCGACTTCTTCACTTTTAGTCTTCTATTTCACTTCTACTTTCCTTTTATTTCTAGTCTGAGTTTCAAAATAAATCTTTAGATTTTTATAGAGGGCTTTGAAAGAGTCGCTCTCATTCCGAGACTTTGACCAAGTTATCCCATTTTGATATTTTCAAATTGTTTGTATAAAAGAATAGGCTTTGATGATCATTAAGCAAAAATAATAAAGATAAAATCATTTACCGTTCAGATTTGACGGGTCTCTGAAAAAACGGTCATGGCGGGGCGCTAAACGGGCAGCCGCGCTCAGCCGATGTTCTATCCATAATATCCATGTTCTATCCTTAATATCATACATTAGTTATGGAGTCTTTATGGTTCAAAGGGCATGAACGAGAGTGCTGGCGCCGACCATGTTTCTTCGGATACGAAAAAACAAATTTCCTTCTCGGAGATTCACAGGACTGTTTGAATATAAAAAGATGATAGAACAGTTAGGTCTACGCGGAAAAAATACTTTAATGGGGGCGTCCTTATGGAGAGATAATTTTGAACACATTTTCTTAAAGCTCTTGATATGCCTGTTCAGAATCGCGAATAAACATCATATCGGGGGTATTGGGAATTCGAGAAAAATTCGATTTTATGGTTTGTGGGCCTCTTTTCGGCGGCCATCATATCTATATCCCGATGCCCCCGATACAATTTTTAATCGCGATTCTGAATGAGCATCTTGAGATCTTTAAGTAGACGCGTAAAAATTTTCAAAATATGAGGGTGCGACCTGCTTTTGGTTTTCCGCGGAGTCCCCTTATATATGTGTTTCATTAGCTAAAGTAAGAAATTATTCAAACACCACTTTAGATAAAATATTTCGGAAAACACAAATTAAAGAAAAAAAACTGGATTATTACGTCATATTCTGGTGCCTGTTTAACTGAATTAGCAGTCCTGATGAAAGTAGGACAAATCTGCGATGAGGAAAGAAGACCAATTCTTCAAATCAAGAGCCGGAATGCCTGGAACTATGGTGAAAATCTACCGGAGAGATTTTTATGCGAAAATTGCCATACAAATTGTCATTCGCGCGTCTCCGGAACAGTTCTAGTCTATGCTGGACACAACAATATTCTGAAGGCATCAACACTGGCATTCCAAGATGTTGACCTAGATAAAGCAATTCAGGATAGTTCTTTCTCTATCTAAATCGTCGCAAGAACATTTTTTTTATCTATGTCCGATTATAAAGATAATTAACAAAATAAAAATAAAAGAACTTTTCAAAGGTTTTACATAGAACCCTTACATCGCTGTTTACGAATGCAAGAAAAATCCTCTTTGTTCAACCTTTTCCACTTGCTAAGCCGCTTAGAACAATTGAAGAATCAACACAAAAATGGCTCAAGAAGATATTAAGTGCAAAAGTACCTAGCTTAGCTAACTATTATCGAGTAAAACAGGAAGAGGTTTTCATTTAATTGGAAATAGAACTAAAAATTGAATGTTTTTGAGTACCGATTCTTCAGAAGCCTCAAACAGCATTTTTTTTCGCCAGATAAAGTTCATCTGAAAGACAATTATGCTCGTCAATTAATCGTCTCAATTATTCAGGTAAAATTGAGGATACTCATAGAAGCTTAGATTTAAGGACCCTGCCCCCGGCATCATTCTTTTCGAAAAATGGATATTAAGCAAACAAGTCCTTAAATAAAGAATATTTTACAGTAACTTCAAATATCTTACTATCTGAAATCTTTGCCTTTTAAATTATTTTTAATAGAGCGTCGAAAAACAAATTTTAACAGCGAATGACAGTTATCCAGAACCACGGAGTCTTCCTAAACGAAAGAAAGGTATTTATAAACATGAAAAATATGGTCGAAATCCTCAGTGTTAAAGTTTCAGATCGTCAAACAATCTTCTTTGACTGCTCTAAACTCTCTCTTATGCCGTCGAGAAAAAAAAGTAATTGCTTGTATCTTTATTTTTTAAATTTTAAAAATATTAAGGAAATTTTCATCGCAGAATGCCTGGATTTTCTGACTGAGAAGATTTTTAAAAGAAGAACAAAACGAGAAGGAACAAACACAACATGCCTCATTCTTTTTAGTTTAAAGTGCTTTTACATTTGCATCTTACACATATGCACGGTATAAAAATTATTTTTTTGTTTTTAAAATTGATAAAATAATCGTTTTCATGTTTCAAATAAATAAAAATATGTAATTTACCGGCAAAAAAAAGTTGACCTCAAATGACCTCAGATGACCTCAAATGACCTCAAGTGACTTTAGAGCATTATTTGATTAATTTTTTGTAGTTTGTAATTAAATAAAAGTATATGCTTTATATTTGCAAAATTAATGCAAAACTAATCCTCAAAAAAAAATTTTTGCAGCCCAAATGTTGCCCGATCTGCTTCAATTTTCGCGAGCACATAGATTCGACTATAGAGTTTCCGAAAAAAAATAGAAAAAAAAATTTGTTATGGAAAAATTTTGCTCTACGAGCAGTTAAAATTTCGGAATTTCCACCTCTGACAAGTCCAAATCTCGAAAATTTCAAAGATTTGGGCAGACTGTAAAAACGTTTTTTATACAGTTTGAGAAGCTCTTTCAGATGAGCCATTCAGAAAAAAAAATTTTTTTTTCACCCTGCCACAATTGGAGACTTCTACCTGAGCCAAACAGCGACTACAACAACGAGTACAAACCCCGCCATTCCAGTTCCTTCAGCTCATCTAGCTCGAGCTCCAACTCATTCGCAAGCTCAAGCAGAGAACAAGCTTTGTTGTCAATGAGAACTCATATTTGGTAATCTAACCTGCAATTTGACAACAACAGATAGATCTTACAAGCTCGGCCCAGCAAATCTACGAATCTGAATCAAGCGACGTATCAATTGATTCTGCATACGACCAGAGTTACTCTTACCCTAGTTCCAGTTCATATTCCAGTTCTCAGATAAAACGTTAGAAAATTTTTTGGCAACAGATTATTTATTAATCCTAGAAACTTTAAGAAATACATTAAATAAACCACCAGTATATACCAAACTGTGTTCAGATTTCATCCTCTGGACGGAGGATCTTCGATCCAGATTGACTCAAGCAAGTCCAAAATGACATTTTCCTTTGATAAAGAAGTCGATTTAAAGGCAAGTCGATTTAAAATTCAGATGGTGAGCGGGATTGACGGCCAACTCAATTATTAACATCTGTATATATGAAGCAGTATCCTCGCAATGTTGTATCTGATTAATTTTTGATAAAAAATGAAAGGACTTGAGTTCACGAGCGATTAGCTCTGCGCCCGCAGAAATCTAACTCCGCTCATTGTTCATTCTTGCAACGCAGCGTTCATTGACAGAACCCTGTATATTTATCTGCCCAGGAGAAAATTATCGAGAAGGACCTTTGAGTTGATAGAAAAAGGATGAACAACAATCAGTGGCGAACTACAGGTATTTTCCTTTGAGTGTGAATTTAGTAGAGACCATCACATTCTTTCAGGAATCTTGCTCGCGATTCCTTGTGCGGCACTGATTTTATTCATAATTATTTGTTATGTTGTCTATGAGGTTAGAAATTAAACAGTCTTTTTGTTAATTTAGGTCAATTTACAATTATTTTTTTTTAGAAAAAGAAAAATCAAATTCATGAAGAGTTTACAAGGAAAACAATAAGTGAGCGAACCTCGGAAATTCAGTCGAATAAGCACTCTACTGTATAAAATTCATTCTGTGAAGAACTAGTGACTGTGTATGAAAAAAAATAGAGAATGACAACTTGATACGACCTTGTTTTATTATTTCTAATTATGGTGAACTCCTTCGAGAACAACAGTCTTCAGATCGCCGGGGCTGACTCTTAGACACAAGTTATCCAGTTCACAGGTTGATTTTTCTTTGTTGTGTTCTTCTTGCTCGCCGGTATTCCAGGAGAATCTCTCAAAATGGTCGATAGGCACATCGCCTCCAGCCATAAACTCCTTCGCGCGTTCCGTCTGGAAATTTGCTTTATTCACGTTTTTGAACTGATATCTTCTCAAAATGACTATATGTCTTATATATAATATAATTAAAGATATTTAAGATAGAGTTAAAAATATAGTAAAACGATTCCTAAAAAGTGCGTGAGATCAATATCAACAGCGTTTCCAGCTTTGTCAGCCGCCTGGTAGAGATGCTCGATTCGAATAACCACTTCTCGGTCATTGTTGAACATTCCGAAATGTTTTTGGATCAAGATAATCTTCAACTGAGGATCAAGAGCCTTCGTCAAAATTGGACTCGACTTTGCCTGGAAAGTTTGTCCTTATAAGGGTGTTAAATAAAAACAGACATTACATCATACCCGGGTATAAAAAGACTTGTGGCTTCATAAGAATCTTTTCCTCCATTGGCTTGTCTTCGAGTGAGCCACTCTTGCCCAGGAAAAGGAAGTGGCGTCCTCGAACCATGAGACCGTCTCCAAACTGACCAGGTTCCATTAGAGGCTCATCAACTCCACGGTGATCGTCGACAGTTATTCGTCTTTCAATCGGCTTTTCTGATACTTTTTAAAATTTGTATCAATGAAGCAAAAAAACCTTCCTGTGAACCATAAGATCAATGGACCCCTCTGTCATTGAGCCACCAGCTTCAGCTCTATCAACAAGCACAGAGAAAAGGTTTGAATCGTCTTCAACAGCGATCCTAGAGTTGATGGGATAGTAATTTCCTGCGACGCCAGTTTCTGCATCAGTGGTGTTCAAGTCGAAACAAGCTCTGTAGTCTTTCGTTCGTTTCAATTTATTTCTTCCTGAAGTGTCGGTCCACACAGTTGGACGTCCCTTTTCATCTGCCGATTTAATGGGTGTTTGATACCTGGAAATGACTTCTTTGCCCCATTTGCAAGTTTGTTTAGAATCCCACGGGCATTTTTCTTCGACTGGAACTGGACCAACTGACCATTCAACTTCTACTGTGTTTTCACCTTTCCAGAGTCGGTAAACCTTATGTTAGTGTTTAAAATTCATTCTCAATACGAACACAGAGACTAAAATCGCACTTTTCCTGAGACGCCCAGCTTCCCCATGTTACTGTAGCGAATTCGACGCTTGATCCCTTCGTAATTTCAACAGTTGGTTTCGCGTTGATGGTAAAAGGGTCGGTTTTGTTAGGCCGGAAGATGTACGCTCCAGAGTTTTGTCCGTAGCCCTGGCTAGAGTTAAAATAAAGAAGATCATTCCTGATAGCCATTCCATTGATCGTTTCCAGTCCTCTTTCCCCGAACGAGATTTTGTAGTACTCATTTTCGATCATATTTGAGTCTTTTGGCGATGGCAAGACAACCTCGTTACCCTCGGCTTCCTTTACGTTGAAAGTTGCAAAGTCGAATCCTTCAGTCTTTGCAGTGATCCAGAGCTCGTTTGTTGCATAGCCTCTGTTTCGTCGAATGCTCTTCGTGTTGTCAGAAACTGGGACAACGTCGAAAGGAACCTTCTCGCCTGCCTGATTGGTAACTTCGTAGTTGGAGCCATTCACAGGCACTCGAATGTGGTAGTGGAAAGCGTGCGAAGCTGGCGAGTACACTCCAACCGTGAATTCTTTAGCAGCTTCAGTCTCCGCACAGATGGAAACATTTCGATACTCGCAGTTGACTGAGTTGAGTGGAGCTTGGAACTCTTGTTCCAACACTTGATTTGTGATGTTTCTACAAGCGGTTCGACCCCGATGCAATTGACGGGTGTAGTCGGATGTAACATGTTCTTGCTCTGTTCCGGAGATACCGTCATGATGCTGACCAACTCCAAAGGCAGCAGCAAGCTTATGCTCAGCAATATCTCCGTGGTGACCAAGGACGTGTGCGCCTCTGAGGTTCATGTGATGACACATTTGCAGGACAGGGTTTGTATCCCAAACGTATCCTTTGAAACCTGGTCTAGAAGTAAAGTATCCTGACCAGTATTGGCCTTGAGGACCGTTGGAGTAAGGCATGAAATCGTCGGACTTAACAGTCCACTGCTGCTGAGCTTCGTTTCTTGCTTTGGTGTAACAAGCGGGAGTCGAGTAAATGACGTTATATTTATCACCATGGAGTCGATTCATGTGGTAGATGATCTTGTCCATGTTCTTGAAGTACATGATCGAGTTATAGTAGGCAAAGTCGCTTCCCATTGTGAACATGATATTTCCGGGATGAGTCTGATCTTGGTAATGTTGAATTTGCTTGATAAAATCGTCAAGGCGCTGAGGAAGATTATATTCGTCTGACTCTTCATTATCAATGATCGGGTCCACACTAAAGCCCTCAAACCAAAATCCTCCTGGTGGACCATAGCTGGTGTCGACAAGTCCTCCAGTAAACAGGTCCCGGGACTGGGGGAAATCGTCATTTCCTCGCCAAATCATCTCAATCGCTCGGTCCTTCGAGCGTTGATTATATTCTTGGTAGTCCATTCGAGCAAAAAAAACCGAATCATAACTACGCAAATATGTTAAAACAGAGTAATTATTGCAATGTCTCACCCCATCAGAGCAAACAGTTCAGCCTGGGTCTTGGAATGCCCGAACGGATCGATCTGCCAGGCGCCGCGAGGACGGCCGCATTCTCCAAAATGGTGTCGGAGCCATTGGAGTCCAAGACCATTTTGCTCGAGCATAGCGGTGTAATGAGAAGCAGCTTCATCGTTCATGCACCAACCTCCAAGTAAAAACTCGAGCTGGCCGGTTTCAACCAAATGACGAGTTTGCTAATTACTTTATGAAGGGAAATTTCGTTTTAATTTACCTGTTGTTGGTGATCGGTAGCTTCGGCCCACCATTTAGCAAAGAAAGCAATTTCAACGAAGACGAATTTTCTGTCTGAATTCTTCAAGAGCTCAGTGACGACTGTATCTATGGTGTACTGAATTCCACCTCCCTGGATGGTGTTGTTCGATCCGTAGTAATATTGGTCAACCGTTTTCTTCCAACCGGTATCGTCGTGAGAGTGTGGGACCATGTGAACATTGATGACTCCCTCTTTCGTGGGGTGGCAGGCTTCGTAGCCGCATTTTGCTAAACTCCAATAAGCTCTGTTAAACCTCTCTTATTTCTCACCGGCTACGATCGAAACCAGAGCAACGTGAAGAAGCATCTGGGAATTTTTCGATGTGAACTCGTGTGTTTAAAACTACATGTGATGGAACCGGAATTTGCACGGCAATAAAGGCGATCATCTACAAATTTTAACAGACTGTTACCGGCATGGGCGGAGCCGCCAAAATGGGTCAAAAACATCTTTCTATTTATTTTTTATATTTACAAAAGATATATCTTGTGATAGTTTGCTCAATAAGGATATCAACTCGACTTCTTTTGAAGACAACATGGCTCAAAAATACGGATAAATAAACTTTTGTTTGTAATCATTCATTGTTCGGCAAACGGCGATGTTGGGTAAACGGCGACTTGGGCAAACGGAGACCACTCGATTAAAACTGCTGCTCCAAAATACAGAAAAATAATTTGTTACTTGTTATTATCGATTGTTCTATCAAAAATGTACGTAAGCAAGGCACAGTATCATCATATCATCATTTTTGAGGAAGCTGTTTTTGAATAATGTCGTCACAAATCTCAGTCGAATCGAAAATCTCTCCGCGTCTTTACTCCCTAGATTTCTCGAAAGCACCAAGACTCAAAAAAAATTTATCCAAATTTCCATCTTTGTTCATTTTTTAACATGGAAGCTCTTCGGAACGAAGAATTTAAAGAAATAGTAAATAGGGAGAGAAAATACTGGCCAAGAGTTTTGGATCACGTGAGCAAGCTCGAGAAAAATATTCGGGAGAGCACACCAGTTACCGGAGAGGACGTTAAAATTTTGAAATTTTTCCTCGAACAACTCAACAATACAGATCAATATGAGCTCAATCATCAGCGCTCTTCAATCGGAGATCTCGAAAAAGATCAAGGTTAGTATTTTCGCAACTCTTGTTATTTAATTGCTAATTTTAGTTGCAAAAAACGAGTCTTCGTCAAAAACGCCAACTGCACCCGACTCTTCATCCAATACACCTCCAAAAACTTCAAAATCGCCTTTGAAAAGGGTCCTTCCTTCCGACACTTGTAGCCCACAAGAGCCAGTTCAAAAGCAAAAGCGTCATCAAAAATATAAAAGTCAGTAATTTTTCAAAATGCAAATCTTATGAATATACCGCGGTTCACATTCGTGAGTGACCAATTCAAAATCGTTTGAAAATTTCCCTGTGCTAAAACATAGGACTTTTGTTCAAACGAATTACAATAGAAATTGATTCTGGTCAGTCAGAAATGTGAATCACGGTATTAGTTTCCGAATCGAAGAAGGGATCCTCTAGCTCCTGGTCCAGATCCGTCTCTATGAAGCCTAGCCGATTGGAACTCAACACAAATCTCAACACCCATTTCTCGGGGATTCATAAGCGAATATCCTACCGACCAGGGGACTCCCGAAGCCCGGCTTGGGTAAGAACCTTCCCCTAACCTTGCCGACAGTCAATTGTGTTCAGGGCTACGACCGACGAGGAACCTTCCATGTCAAGCCTACTTTCAAGATGTACGTAGCCCCGAAAAATACCCCCTGGACCGTGGAAGTCGAAAACTTGAGCTCGGCATGCAGGTTAGCACTTGAGCAAGTCCACCAGTTGATTCTTTACCTTTCCTACTAATAATTTTTGACATCAAATATTGCTTTATTTAGCTGGTTTAATCTCAAGGAATTCATGCAAAAGGCTGGAGAAGTGACTTATGCGGGTGCCCACGGTAGTAAACATTCTTTTATCAGTTCAAAAAAGATTGGTTTTCGAATTTAGGCCATCATGGATTTAACCGCGGAGTGGTTTGCTACAAGCGGGAGGATGGTGCGCGACGCGCTGTCGAAGAACTCGATGGTCGTTATTTCTGCGGACAGAAGATCAAGCTCGTGTTCAGAGTAAAATTTTGGATTCGGTTTCTTTTTCAATTGCCTTTTTTCAGGTTCGAGAAGAATGGGGAGGCGATGTCGCTGGAAACGACGGACGAGGCAGATTCCGAAGTGACTCTCAAGGTCAACCCAGAAGGTGAGAAAGCTTTCCTGGAAGATCTTATTGTTTTAGCCGATCTCGATCTCCACGAACGCGAGACAACAAGTCCCACGAAAAGTCCTTGGATCGATCCCTATCGAAGTCGAAGAGCATCAAGCGAGAACCTCAAGATTTTTTCACAGCGACTGATACATTCGTTCTTGATCGAGGTTTGAAGTCTGAAACTGGTCACTGATTTTTTAATAAATAAAATTTCATCTCAAAAAGAAAGTGTTTTGAAGCTTTAGAAGTCCAAAAGGTTCACCGATGTACATATATTAATTATTCTTTTATATTAGATATTTAACAAAAAAAAAAAGAAAGTTTTAAAGAAACTCGGAAAACGAGTGGACATTTAAAAAGGCACTTGGCGCATTTTGCATTAAGCTCTTAAGTTTTCTTGATTGTTAACGCTAGAGGGTCAGAAAGAGATCGTCAAGTTGAGGCTAGCGCGTTGATTAATCGATAGCTCATACAAGTACACGAATTTACATTCGAAGAGTTATAGAGGACTACTATAAACTTATCAGAGTTGCGGTCACTTTACGAAGATGATCCGGACATCGGTCATGTCCTCGATGGAGGGCAGATCAATCGGTAATTTTCAAAATTTCCCTACTAAAGCTATTCTTCGAAAGTCACGACAAGTTGAAATATTATTTCATCTATTAATTAATAATTTTATTCACTAATTATTCAATTGGAATGTAGAAAAAGGGTGTAAAATAGAAAGGCGTTAAATTAAGTACGTCAATGATATTGGGTGGCCTTCCGCTTGCATATTTCAGGGAGCATAAAATTTCACCTTTGAACCGAGTTTACTAGGATACGTGAACATTTTCCTGTTCATCGTTTATTTCACTTACATCATCATCGGAGGAGTTGTCTTCATGTGGCTAGAAAAACCTGAAGAAGAACGGGTTTGCAGGTGGGTCCAGTTGTCTCTCAAATCAACTGTTATTTTATTACTAGCATCGAAAATGAACGATATCAAAATATTGCCCGTCTTCAGAATTTAAGCTTGAAGATTGAAAATGAAGTGGATACTTCTTTGCTCACGGATAATGATGACTCGATGACGATTCAAAGAGCTTTGAGGTAAAAATTTAAAATTATCAGAACAAAGAACCGATTTTAGCATTGTCGACAACGGAATCGGAGAAATGGAATATCTGACGGGACAAAGAAGAAAAAGACAGGCGCACTGGGATACGACTTGGGAACTCAGGAAGCTAGAAAATATCACGAAGAATTACGACGTCGACAATTATCGGTAAGCCGTAAAATATTCAGGTTTACTACAGTTACTTTTAAATTACAGTAGTAAAGAGATACAGGTTCATCGCGCTGACCACATTAGTGTCCATTATCACATTTTGTCAAAAATGAATCATTTTGACAGTTGGGATTCTCAACTTTCCTGCAGCTCAACGTATCCCTAAATAAAAAAGATCGTCTTGTCATCAAAGGTCAATCCTGACAAGGAAATGTGCGAAATAAAGCAAAATATATTTCCCGAAAAGAATTTACTAAATGCACTTAATTCGATTACTCATTTTCGGGTTGAACTATTCTTAGGGTCATCAACGAAGAAATGACATACACGGAAGCAGTAAGCAGATGTGAGTTCTTGGGTGACTGGGCGATGACATCGACGACATCGATGGACGAACTCATATTTCTTCATCACAAGGTTCTAGCTGCCCAGCCGCTCCAGCTGTGGCTAAGGCTCAAGTAAGTTAAGACTTGCTGATCGCAGGCGACGCAAGTTGGAAAAGTTTGACACTCTCCTTTTCAGAGAGACAGGGGCTACTCCATGCGATACCACATGTTGGGCGTGGAAGAAGACGACCTTTTCGAAATACAATCGCCATGTGAGCAGCTGGAAGCGCCATCCGAATTTCCGCTACAAAAATTGCCACAAGCAGCTTCCAACAATCTGTAAAAGAACGAAGCCAAAAAGTCCATGCGAGGGCAACACTTGTCCAAAAGGAAGTGTCTGCGCCTTGGACTCCCGTCAAGACAAGGGGTACACCTGTCAATGCGACGGTGGCCAGTTTTATTCTTCTGAAAGGGTTTCTTTACACATTAAATCAATAACTACCTATCTTCTGTGTTTGTTATTGCGCTAGTCATTTTATATTGACGATTGAAGGCAACCCACTGATGAGAAAAATCTGTGTGTAGGAACATGTCCGATCGGCTACGCTTGGGGGCGGCCGTACGCTAATCCTGGCGAAGAAACCGAGTATGGATGCTTCGACATCGACGAGTGCGAAGAAGGAGTTCACCAGTGCCAGGAGCCATTCATCTGTCTCAATCGCCGCGGAGACTACATTTGTTCCTGCCCTTACCAAATTTATAAGCGATCGAATGGGGAGCTCATCTGTCAGAAGCAAAGTTTGTGGGGACCTGTCGAAGAGCCTGCTGTTGACTGCGACTTTACAGACTCAACGAATAGAAACTGTAATCCAGATCACAGTAAGTAGCAAGGAGGCAATTAACAACGGTGTTACTGGTGGCAGGATGTCGCGGTATGTAATTGCGCGCTCGTGCTTTCGCCGCTAATTCACAAAGGAACCCATATCTATATCCGTGGCCGAAACTGGGACGCGAGAATTGTTTCACAACATTCTTAGGGAAGGAAATTATTTCGAATTTCTTGACCCAAAACCAGGCGACAGGGGTCACAATGTCAAGAAGCTTCTATACAGGTCACTACCTAATGATAAATTTAATTTATCAGCGTAGAACTGTTCAGTATAAGAGCTATACTGAGTCCGTCGTCAAACTGGAATTCCATTTGACGCATTGAAAGAATATATACTGGAGGTATATAACATGCCGTATATCGATATTGCGATATACTTTTGTGTTGCAAAGCAACCTGGGCTAAGTTGGGACTTTCAAATTTCAGGGAACAAAACGACAGAGGAAGAGGAGGACATAATGGCTCTTATCAAAAAACATAAAATACCCGTTGAAGAAGTTTCAAAATCTGAGAAGCCGCGACCCGCACAAATCAACCCTTATAACAGTAATGCTCAAAAGATTTCAGAATACTTTACCCAAGAAGAAGTGGCTAGTAAATACGGCAACTACAGTGGCATTGGTATAAATCTGTCGACTGAATAGCTTGAAAATATTTTGAAATAGGAAAACTGAGCGGCGAAATTTCGTACAAAGCGACGCGACAACGTGGATTCCCGAATTTCCCAACAAAACTCGAGTTTCATACGGCGCTGAAAGAGGGATTCGTGCAAGATTCCGTTTGGCATGCGGCTCAGCGATTTTTCAAGGATATGCCTAGGAAGGGGATCAAATCTAGCCTTTCCAAAATGCGCTAGAAGCTTGCAGACGGCGACAGAGTTTTTTCCCTCGCAAAAGTTATGAACGAAGTGCAGCAAGCCAGCTGGCAAAGATCGAGGAATTCATGATCAGTGCTGAAGTGACGTTGTGGAAGATGCGTAAAGGGCACACCACATCTCGTTGTAAGTTTTCTTCTTGCCAACAAGACACGTGGCGCAGAGCTTCAGCTGTGCCTGGTTTGACATGAACTTATAATTTTCGTGTAGTTGTCTCAGAAAATCCCGAAAATGGCGCGAACCAGATCGACGCTATAAATAAGCTCTTTCTGAAGAATGAAACTTATGGGAAATCTGCTCTCCTCGTTGGCAATGCAATTATCAACTTTGAGCAGGGGACAATCGTGACTGAGGTGGCAATGTCAAAGGTGAATGATGTTTTATTACTCTGGCAACGCCTATAACTAGAATTCCAGCAGAAGTGGTAGTTACGGGAGTAATTTAGGGACACAAACCATCAAGAAAACAACTCCAGGTCGTAAAGCACAAAAGCGAAGAGTCTGGAGACATAGAAGAGTCTATCGTCATTGTCGATAAAGACAAGGCCGACGAAATTGAGGGGCTCAAGTCCGAGGTAAGGAATGCATCTGAAGTGATTACCAACAAAACCGCCACCATCGTCGTGAAAACGGAGCAGGTTCACTTGACCCGCGAAGAACTCCTCCAAACGCGAATCGCGCTCATGGCCAAGTATCTAATTCACATCATCAACTCATGTTAATTAGTAATGGACGAATTCTAGGGCAAATTCGGTCGACGGAATCTATCTTGATTCAGAGGCCATGATCGTTCTTGCCCAAAAGAAGGATTTTATGTGTCAGAAAGTCGCGAATGAGCTCTTTAATTCAGCGTCTTCATCTCATTTCTACTCATAAATGATCGAAATGAAGGTCGTGTGAAAAATTTTGTTTGGGCTGATTTAGATACTGTAGTACAAAGATGAGCTAAACAAGCTCAACATGTCCATCTCCGCGAAAGATGCCCTTCTCAGGCAAAAAGAGCAGCAACTAAATGAACGGGCCAGCGATACAGTAGTGCGAGCGTTTATTAGCGGATTAGGCAATATCGAGACCCAAGAGTTAGTTCAAAAACGAGCTGGTCAAGAATCTCATGGACATGGTTCCTCGTTACTCTCAAAAAGGCAAGCTATATTTTCCGCTCCAAGGGCACTGAAACGTCTTCTGTAGCAACGAAGGCGCACGAAGCAAAGAAAGGTTTCCTGGACTCACTGGACGTTCCCCATCCGTCAAAGACGAAAATGGTCATCAAAAAAGATGGAACTCTCGGCTGCCCGAATCTCTGGTCCTACCGGAACGCTTTCTTCTTTACTGGAACAATCGGGACGACAATTGGATATGGAAATGTCTATCCAACTACGAGTGGCGGCAAGATTTTCTGGTAAGAGCTACGACAGAATTAGATAGTCATATATTTTTAAGCGTGTTCTATGCATTAACGTCCATTCCGCTCTTTGGATTCTTCATGGGCAAAATCGGCGACACACTCAAACTCTACATGAGTCAAATACTCATTTCCATCTACGGAAAGACCCCTACTAAACGACAAGCATTCACAATCTTTGCTGCTTACGTGTTCTTCGGATCCTTGATCTTCTCGGTAAAGAGTCGCTTGCTTTATCAGTTGTTAAACGTGCTCAGATAATTCCCGCTGTCTGCTTCCACTTCTTAGAAGGCTGGGAGATGCTCAACGCTTGGTATTTTACGATAATTACGCTTACAACTGTTGGTTTCGGCGACTACGTTCCAGCTTTCCAGCAAGGCGACATCGACAATTCCGCATGGTTGAACTTTTTCTTGGAGATTTATCGAACAATAGGAAACTCGGCGAAAAAATTCATATTCTATCCAAAAGTTCATATTTCGCGAATTAAAAAAGTCTTGATGTGGATGCTTGCTGGCCTTGCCTGGCTTGGTGGCTTGATATCGATGATTTCCGAGTCCTTGGGAGAGGTGATGAACTCTCTCCGAGTCGGGCCCGTTTTCCTCCGGTACATTTTCCATAGCTTACTTTTTTTCAAAGGACTTTTAGTGGACGCACTCCTTCCGTAGAGGCCGATTTAGTCTCACAACAAGATGTCGCCTTCAGAGGCGCACGGGACCATCTGCTCGACAACATCCCAGAAGGTGAGATCGCCTTTTTTTCCGAATGAATAGAATTTTAATGCAGAAGAAGACCCTGAATGCAAAACTCTGAATTCCGAATACGACGACTCTCCAGACGCAGCGCGCAAAATCTACAAGAAGAGCGCATATCACCCCAAGACCTCGTGGAAGGGCACCAGAAAAGAAGACTTGTAATTTGCAAGTTTTCAAAGAAATCAACCTCAAATCTGAAAAGTACTATCACTGCCGTTCCCTGCTTGCAAATAAAACTAGTAGTGCCTGGAATGAACATTGATGACAGTTATTGGAGAGATTCTACATCAGCACAGTAAATAAATAGGGTTGAACGAGGGGTTGAACGCATTTCTGTTGGGTATTACAAAGTTTGTAGGTAGTTGGAGAGACATCACAGCATATTTTAAATAAGGTTTATTTTACAGGGCTAAAAGGCTTGTATATACTTTGAAATCAAAGAAGTCTAAAACGATGCAGTATACTGAGTATACGCATTTGACATTTATAAAAGAATAAGGAAAAAAATAAGGAAAGGTTTCGTTTCGACGTCAATTTCAGTTCATCTGCTTATCATCTAAGTAATGAAGGGGGAATTTCGATGACCATTGCATATCTGAAAAAACAGTTGAGCATTCATTCACAATACAAATAACATAGGTCATCCCCTTGTTACCAGGATAAACGTCGGCGAAAATCTGAATTTAGCAGGATAAACCCCAGGCAAACTTGCCCCCATGTTAGCAGGATAAACTTTGGCAAAAGGGCTCATTGTTAGCAGGGTAAACTTTGGCACTCAATTAACAGGGTTGCGTGAATCATCAGCGCTCGCCCAGGGCGTGACGTAACTGTTAGCCCGAGGAGGACTCAACCTGCTGGAAGAAAATGCCAATGAAAAATATCTTCATAAAATCTGCTTGAAAATTTCAATATATATTTATAAATTCAGTATTTAATACAAGTTAACGATTTTATCATTATTAATTTTAATTTTGATATTTATTCATATTTTTAAATTATTTATTTTTAGGGCTTAGGAGGGTAGGCACCAGAGTTGCAAATTTGGCTTTATTTTCGCTGAGCTGAGTGAGCTGAGTTGAGCTATTTTTTACTGTATTTTAGTAGTAAAATTGTGTTGAAATCATTGAGCTGAGCTGAATGATTATCGACGATAATTTATCGTCTGAGCTGAGGAGATCAGTTCACTTTTGAAAATCACTGAGCAGTCTCAGCTCACTTAACTCAGCAAATTTGAAACTCTGGTAGGCACATTATACAGTATTACTAATACTGTATTAGAAAGCTCAGAAGCTGAGCTTTATTTTGACTATTGATAACGGGGTGATCTCGTACCTGGCCCTTTTCGGACTCTAACCATCTTTCAAGAAGAAAAATCTCCAAAGTTGATCCTGAGTGATCCCAGGTAACCCCAACTTGACCTCAGGTCAGCAATGATGCAGATATTATATCCAATATTAGATATATAAGATATTAGTCCCTATATTCTATAATGATATGGGCTATACTTCACCGAAGTCGCTTGATCTAATGAATGGCCTCGGAATCCTGTAAACAGGAACAGAGACAGGAACAGGGATTTTATTTTTTGGCCCATTTTAATTTAAAAAAATTATATATTAAAATTAAAATTAATAACATAAAATTGTTCACTTGTATTTCAAGCAGATTTGCTTCATTCGCATTTTCTTCCAGCAGGTTGAGTCCTCCTCGGGCTAACAGTTACGTCACGCCCTGGGCGAGCGCTGATGATTCACGCAACCCTGTTAATTGAGTGCCAAAGTTTACCCTGCTAACAATGAGCCCTTTTGCCAAAGTTTATCCTGCTAACATGGGGGCAAGTTTGCCTGGGGTTTATCCTGCTAAATTCAGATTTTCGCCAACGTTTATCCTGGTAACAAGGGGATGACCTATGTTAGGATATTACCTGATAAATTCCAGAGGAGAATGTCGCCAGTGAAGACTTCCGGGAAGTTCCCAGAAGAGACCAGATCGTCGGCGCCTCGGAAGCACACGGGCATTGCTTTTCGATTCGCCTTTTCTAGGAGAATTTTCGTAAAATTTTGCTTATCGCTGGTTTCTCTTACTTGTGACAATGGTCGGCAAATGCTCGGCGTTGAAGGAATTGAGCTTGGTATTCAGCTGGACCTGGACACCCTGGTCGGGCACTGCTTCCGTCGACAAAACAGGAGTCAAGATGGCGAGAGGCTCGCCAAGGTGGAACTCCGTCGTGTTCGCCATGATTCTAGCTTCGTTTAAAAAAAAAGAAATACGAACGTATCTACCTGTAGTTGGCAAAGTGATCGTCCAAGAGCGTGGAGAGCTCAGCACTGAAAGCTTCAAAGAGTTGAAGTTCTTCGTAAATGATTGCTCCAAGATGGAGAATCTTCAGCTCGTGTCCAAAGAGTTTCGCTATTTTCGCGACTTTCACGCACTTGAAGAGCTCGGCTTTGAGCAGTTCTACATCTCCAAGAGATGTTTCGTCAAGACACACTCCGGCTACTTTCATTCCCAACAAAGCAGTACGTTCTAGCAGAGATTGGCAGCTATCAATCGCTAAAAGAACATGAATAAGAGATGAATGAAAAGTTGAGTTTCGCTATACCTTGAGGGAATTGAAAAGAGGAAACGTCAAGCAAAAGTTGAGCGTCTGGATGAGTTTTGCGAATTTTCACGAGTTCGTTTTCGCAATCAAAGGACAAGAGCGGGACCGATTGTTTCTCTGCTTCTCTGAGCAGCGAGTTCATTTTTGCTGGGCTGATGAGGACGGAGCTGGAAGGGCACAATCCAGCGGACTCGAGGGCGGAAAAGTCTTTCTTAGAAGTCAACTGGAATTGCAGGCCCAGTTCGGCAAGATCGGCGAGGAGACGGACGTTGTTGTTGCTTTTGACTTTGTGGAACATTTCCACCCGGGGCAGGTGAGTTTCCCAAAGTGCTACCTCAAAGAGTTCATGAATTCTAGATCGAGTTCCCTTCAATTACCATTTGCTTGACAGATTGAAAGTCCACCACGCAGCAGGATTGAACCTCGAAAGAGGTAAGATGTTCATCGTCCCAGGAATGGTGGGTTTTGAGAGGTAAGTTGAATGAGTTTTGCGAGTCAGGAATCTTCATTCTTGCGGACTGAGAAGTTGGTATTTGGAGATTGGATGAAATTGACGTCGAAACGACGAAAAGACACTATTCTATTTTTTGGCTTTGTGGGAAAGCTAGAGGGTGCTATCTCGGTCGGCAAGGCGGCGCAAGACCGTATCGGAGCTTTCTGTTGAGCCCGTCAGCAGCGACGAATTTTGATACGACTCCCTAAAAAGGACTAGAAAAGGGGAAATATAAGCTTAACTCACCTGGAGAGTTTTCCCTAAAACTCTAAGTTCAGATTCGGTTTTTGTCGACGTAATTTTCGCGTCTTCTTTCAAACAAAATTGAAATTAAACGAAGCTGTATTCTTCGTTTGTTCTCTCTTTGGAAAATCACTGGCGAAATGAAATCAACCACGCAAGGGGAGAGTCAACGATATGTCTGAATTAACGCCTTGTAGTTGTAGTACTACGCTTGAGCACGAGATTTCTTGAATTCCATTTCAATTCGAAACTACTCAATTTTGAACAAGAACCTTGTCAGAAGCGTGTTTTCTTGAATGAAATAATAAGTTTAGGCAGAAAAAAACAGAACGAGCAAATAGCAAAGTCGGGAAAAGGTAAAAAAGAAAAAGTTCTTCGTTTGAATTGAATGAAATTTCAAAGAAAGTATTTTGAGCAAAATATAATCAAAAATCTTTCTAGCGTTTCGGTGACTGTAGCTCTTCTGAAAAGAGCTTCAGTAGTTGGAGTGGAGGCTGAAAGGCGATTAACACGATAGACGCTATCGGATAAAGACAGAAAGCTGTCTTCAGACATTCATGTCCGTATTCTCATTTATGAATACTCAGACATGCAGCAAAAAAGATAGCTTGAAATTAAGACATAATATTTATTGTTGTCTCTCTCCCTCTTAATCTATCTGAAGAGAGAAAGGAAGAGAGAGACTGGCGTTTTGATAGCGTAGTGTGTGGGAGAAGATTGACGTCAATTGAAAACAGAAAATAGAAAAATTGAAAAACGTCGAATTTTGATGAAACTTATTTTCTCACCATGGAAATCACGGATAGTTGTAAAAGTAAAGCATATAGAAAATTATTAAATAAACGAATTCTATAAAATATTCGGATACAAATCGATTGACAATCCAGAATAATGGTAATGGAGTGTAGATAATTATTCTTTCGGTTTCTACAATTAATCAAGTAGGAAACCTACAAGTAAAATTACTAAGGAAGTAAGGAAATCCCGAATTTTAAGGCCGTCCCCAACGATTAAAATTCAATCTCTCAAAAGAGGATCCAACATGAATTCTTCGAACTAAAAATCGCAGTCATTTATACAGGGCACCCTAAGTAATGGGCTCATGCGTCTTTTTCTAAAGCCTTTAGTAAAGGACGTAATCTACGTATATTGATAAAAAATAAGTCAGAAAATTTATAACTAAACTTTTTGACTCTTAAGGGATCCCCCCCTGTTTTTTCAAGTCTTTCATAGGGGGTTATATCTGGCAAATTTAGATTCCTCGTGATCTGAGGATCATTTTGGTGTATCATATGACCCCTTTACGAACATCTATCTCTGAAATTTTAGCCTTCGAAAATTGCAAAAATGCATGTAATTTATACTTCGCGTAAAAATCGGAATATTTTTCGACTTTTCAATAACATCGAAATAAGACATATAAGGGGTCTATCGATAGCTTAGAATGTGCTGATTAAGAATTTTATAACCGCACTAGACTTTTTGACCAAATGTTGGCGCTAGAGAGCATTTTACCTCCAAAAAACGCCAAAAATGGCCCCATTCGGTTGTTCAAAAGAAATTTTTTTAATTACTTGGCCAAATTATTTCTCTGTATTAGAGATTGAAGATTAGGCCTCGGTCTATCTAAATCTAGTCGTAGACGGTGTCTATCTAAGCCCAAATCGGCTGAATTTCGGCTCAAAATTGGCCTAAAATGGCTTTTTTTCGAAATTCTCGAACTTTGGCCCCTCCCAGTGGTAGGTTTGACTTGAGTAAAAAACTTCTCTGTACTAGAGAATAGCGGATAGCACCTGGGCTTTACGTAGAGCTATTGTACGCCCCAATACATAAGCGTAAATCGACTGAATTTTCAGTCAAAGATGGCCAAAACGGTGGGGATCCCTTAAGATCAATGATGATGAGCTGATGATCAGCTCGGCAATCTGTGTAGAAAACCTTAGTCAGGGCTCTGACAGAGCTTCAATAAAAGCCGCGGAGCAGCTTTTTAAAAAAACGAAGCCAAAAAGAATTAATAATACGGATTTTTGTCGAAGCTCTTACAGAAAATTGATTCAGGTATTCTACACAGGTTGCGGAACCCAGATCATCTACAGTAAATATTTGAGGGAGTAAGATATCTTATGGCCCATAAGTATTCCCATAACTTATGGGTTTAAAGAAATCGAATTAATGAAACTGGATAAATAATTATTTAATACGACGAATGAAGTAAATAGTATAAATCAGAAATAAAAAAAGCTTACACAGACAACAAGAAATAAATTGAGGTATGGATTAAAAAAGGTCCAGAGTATTCTTTCGAGGGCCTAAACAATGAAGGACAAGCAGTGTGAACTAAATGGGAAATGGGTTTTTTCTTTGATAATCATGGAGTACAGCAGTATTGTTTTTTCATTTTTTTTTCTTTGATTTTTCTTTTTTAAAGTTTTTGGCAGCGAAGCCAGTGGGAGTGACTTGAGATAGTGGAAGAACTTGAGGCTTGCTGAGTTTGTGTACGAGTAGATGTTTTTCAAATAGTATTTTCAATTGTTACTGGAAGATGGCAACGAGTTTTTCTTCGAAAGCGGCGAGGAGCCACATGAGCAGGACGCCGCTGATGAGGCCGAGCTGTTGGACGAAGAAGCGGCGAAGCATAGTCCCGACGTCGCAACCATCTGGCAGCGTTGTCAGACGAATCTCAGGCAGCATATCAACGAGCGCGATATACACTGAATCATTCCTTCAATTTCCAGATTTCCAAATTACTTCCTTACCAAATGCACCAGCTGAAATCGCCAAAATCCAAATTTTAATTTCTTCTGTATCACCAAGCAGTGCGCCAAAGAAAAATCCAATAAAACAGGTGAACGACTGAAATAATCAAAATAACCAAAAGCGAGGGGGTCCATTTGACTTACAGAAACTAAATTCCAGAACATGGCTTTTTTGACAGTGAAGCCAGAGCTGAGGAGGACAGCAAAATCGCCAATTTCATGCGGCAATTCGTGAAAGAAAACGGCAAAAACCGTGCCTAATCCAATCGAATAGGAAGCCGAGAACGCTGCACCGATCGCTAGAAACGAACTTTAATGGCTCTGGAAAACGAAGGAGAGCTAACCTAAACCGTCGGCGAAATTGTGAAAGGCGTCGCCTAAAATCACCATCCAGCCAACGAGAGCGACGTCGTTTGGCCCGTGCGAGTGTCCATGCGTGTGTCCGTGATGACCTACGTGTCCATTCCCGTTCTTTATCAGCATTTCTTGCGCGTTTTCTAGCATCGCGGTCTCTTCATTTTGGTTGAGAAAAACGTCGTCTGTATTCGAATTACACTTTTCGTCAATGCAGATTTCGTTGTTTCTGTCTTCGATGATACTGAATTCGGATCGTTATTTGCATGAAGAAATCATACCAAGAGTACCTTAGCTTGTGGCCAGGGCCTCCGCTCTCCGAATAATGCCTCGACTTGGAGGACTTTCTTCTTGCGCCGATTTCGTTGTCTGAAGAATCTTGCTTTGCTTGCTTGAAGCTGTGCCACAGTCCGATGCCAGTTTCGAAGAGATAGAAGATGTAGAGACCGAGTAGAAGCATCAACCCTCTGATTATCAATACATCATTCAAATTCATAGTGATTGGCTTACCTTTTAGTTATAATGTTATGCGGGAGTCCTTCCCCTTCTTCTTCACCTTCGTGGCCGTGGTGGTCGAGTTCATGATGCTCCTGATTGTGTCCGTGATGGCGATCTTCTTCGTGTTCGTTATGCGCATGCCCATGCAAGCCGAAGATAATCTTCAAAGAGATATAAGCAATATTGCTTGACTTATACGATCATAAGCGCGGATCAGCACAATATTCAGCGATGAGAAAAGACTTACGGGGATCAAATGCAAAACGGCATCGCCAGAAAGGCATCCGATGGCTAATGCCACCATTCCCGACTGTAAGTCCGGATAAATAGGCCATGATCGCATCGGCGCTAAGACGGCGCCGGCCAGCGAGGTAAGCGAGATGATCGAAATCGCCAATGAACCGATGAAGAAAATGCTTTTCTTGCAGTGCTCGCCCATATAGCCGAAAGGACACTGAAACCATTCATTACTGCTCAGAGCAACTCAAGCACTCACCTTCGCGCAGTGGTACCCGCCAGGGAGATTGGCATTCGCATGGCAAGTGTCAGCATCGTAGCAATCGCATCCAGGCTTAAGGCTCTCCTCCCCACTCTTTTCGCAAAGACATTCGTTGTAATAGAAATCGCAGTCTTTCATGAAGTCGGCGACTTTGTTCGATTTTACACCGGAGATGCCATTTACGTTGGAGCAATCTCTCACTGCTTTGATTGTGAATTCAGTGATCAAGTAAATCCCTAAAATATTGTAATTTTTCAAGAAAATCGCTTCGAAAGAGTACCTTTCTTTTTGTAAAAAGCCGGGAGGTTTTCGGTAGTGATTATTTTCGTGAATTCCCAGTTCATTTTTCGCCGTCTTCGATCACTTTTTCCAGGATTTAGAGACATTTTTGTTCACAACTGTCAATTTAAAAATGGAAATCAAGATCCTGTCCTTAAATAAACTAGAACTAGCGAATCTTCTTCGCCGGCTTTGAGGATTTCGTTCATGAAGAATTCGGTAGTTTCGTTGGGGGACATCGGTAACTCGGAAGAGTCGAATTTCTTGACTAGGACATCTTCGTAGACTTCGCCCGTCTCCCAGCTGGAGACGTTCAGCTCTCGTATCTCGTCGAGGACGTTCACCCTGATCTTTCCTCTTTTCCCTGGCGAGCTTTGGTCGTTGAAGAGCATTGGGCAACGGGGCTGTGGATCAATCAGCGCGGGTACCTCGATGTCGACGTCCGGCACTTGAGCGTACGCGAATGCCAGGTAGTGTGAGACGCACAACGAGCTCAGGAGCAAACAGCTGCTGCACTGCATTCTAAAAAATCTCTGTTTGATTTCAGAAGGAAAAATTATAATATCTTGATAGCAGCAGCTCTATCTTTCTTTCAAAGCTTCTTTTTTTCTCGCGAAAGAAGAAGAAAAAAACGAGGTATATGCGCCCTCGCAGTTATCCCGGCAGTGACGCTATCTCAGTCTGCCAAATTAAGTTCCCATGCCTCTACGCTGACTCTTGCTTCTTGCCAGTAAAATAGAGTCTACTAGCAGATTTGACGCAAATAGTTTAATTCTAAAGATATCCTCCCTCTTTTCTCACAAGCGTTTCTGTTTTCATTAGATGGCTACGACAACTAGACTCTGAGCCGACGAAATCAAGGGCAATAATTTGTCGAGGAATGCGAGACGAATCTAATTGCACCTGATCGGCTTCAAGTTAAAGACAAGGAGAAGGAGAGCAATGTTTAATTTAATCATCGACTGTACTAGTCGTTGAACTTCTGAAGCCCTGACTCGGCAACATGTGAACATAACCTGAGTCAGGGTACTGAAAGGACTTTGATAACAAGCTACACGGCTTTTGTAAAAGCTCTTCCCGAACCCTGTCTCGGGTTTTGTACAAAGGTTGTTCAGCCAAGTCTGAAGCACTACTCTTACTGTACTTATTCGTATCCTTTCACTCTTGTAATAAGCCTCTAATGGGTCTATTCCGCTCTCTTCAAAGGCGCTGTTTCCTGTTTTCGCCGCTAAAATAATCGGCCGAAAAAGGGCTGAAAAAAAGAAAGAAGGATTGTAAACTTGATGTGCAGCAGTTCTCTCCGCGGGCGACTAATATAGTGATGAGTGGTTCGCTATCAGCGATTATCCCATTTACTTCAAATGGAGCTTGATTCGGATCTTCGCCACTCGATAAATAGTCGTTTAATATTAAAGCAGGACAAATGTGGCGAAAATCGCCAGTTCGCGAAGTTAAAATGAGCTTTAACTGCCAGTGGAGAATCCATTTTCCGAAAATAAATAAATAATCGCTGAATAATTGATAAGGACAGGGGCACCTTCCAAATTGTCTGTTTTGACATGGTCCATAATATCGAATGCTCCCCGGATAACATAACGCCATAAATAAAAAATGGAGCGATCAAATTGAACCTCCTCGGCAAAATGAAAAACTGGCTGTACATTTTCATTGAACTCTGACTGTAAATAATGAAAAGACGACTCCGAAAATGCACGATAGTAGATGCTACTTTCTGGATTACAATAACGTCTCGTTGACCAAGTTTGAAATTTAAATTATGGAAATATACAGAAAAAAACATTTACAAAATACATGTAATTCCGAAAATTCAATCACTGTCACAACACTTCGTATGTACAGTGGCAGAACCAGAGGCTAGGCTCACCGGCCTGCGTTTAAACCTTGCTCTTTCAAATCCTGACTCAGGTTTTCTCCACAGGTTGCCGAACCCAGCCAAAGGGACAGCCCTAACGTAGGGCCCCTATGATTTCGGTGAAGGTTAGCGTTAGAAGCGTCAGTAATTCTTACACTAGCACTTTATTGTCAATCAGAATATCAGAATATGATATTCTTTGGCGAATAATATTGAGTGTTTCCTAAGAGAATACTACTGACTGGAGGAAGTTTTGTTTCTCTGCTTGTAAATTTTCAGATGCGAGTTGTTTCGACTTTGAAATTAAGTTTCCTTATGCAATCATTGACCCACTGTTTGGAATCGATTCACATAACAAGATATTATTCGCTTTTTCTAACAATGTTAATTCCCAATTATAAATATTTTATTGTTTGACTTAGATTTTACTAGAAACAAGATTTTCGGTTAAGAAATGGTAATTTACAAATCTTTCAATTCAATTGTCAATTTTTAATTGCAAAACAATTAATTAATAATAAACAGATAAAATTAGAAGGAATGGACTCTGCATATTTCTCTGTAACTTTAACTTGCGAACGAGAATTTCTAGAATCACTTTTTCAATTTCCGAAAGAGAATCTGGTCGAGTTTTCCGCAGCGCCCACTCGTCAAAAGAGAGGCTAGCCCAGATTCTCGGCGCCCACTCATTTCTTTTACAAACTCGATTTTTTCGATTTTCTTCAACTTTCCAGAGCTTTTGATCAGAAGTGTGGAAAATGAAGAATTTCTGTAAAAGAATTACTGTTCCAAACACACTTAATTTTTATTCTTTAAAAGTTCAATCAAAAAATACGTAGAAATTAAAAAGAATAATGATTTTTGTCAAAAATCAACTTCTTCAACGATGACTGAACTGAGAAATTTATTGTCGGGCATGAAAATATGTTCCTTTTTTTGGTCGTCCCTGAGGATAGATAAGCGCGATGCCCCGCCGAGGCGCTTATTGGGTCGCCGGGATTCGCGCTTTCTATGAGTAGCCCGTTTCATCCCTTTTTTCTTCATCAATCGAGCTGAGAACGCAAAAGAAGTAAGAAATAACAACGAAAAAAATACGATGATGTTCATTTCCTCGAGCTTGGAGTACTTAAAATCGCGGCTGGGCATAGCGAAGATCCTACAAGCAATTTGCGCGCTTGTTACAATCATTCTACTGGCTAGGTTTGCCCGGTATGATGGTCTCGGCGGAGTGAGATTTCTTTATCACATTTCTAAGTTCTCACTCGCGGTAAGCCCTCAAGTCATGCTTGCAAAATTATTAAAATTCTAGTTTTCCTGTCTTGGTCTCACATTCTTCGGATCAAAACTCCACGAAAAATGGGAATTCTGCAGCAAGATTCCCTGGCACATGGTCGACCTAGTCGTCCCTATCTTCATGGGTAAGCAATAAGCACTACAGCTAATTAGTAATTTGCTTACTCTAGTGATCCTTGTCGCCACTGGTTCAATCATCGCACTTATTAACACTGCCGTCTCTTTCGGAAAGGGAGACGTTGGCAATGTCCGGGTTAATGTCGGCAGCTCCATTGGCCTGGTCAACGCGGCTGCGTGGGGATTGAATGTTTTCTTCCGCTGGGCGCTCAATAAAGAAATGTCCTGATTTCTCAAGCCGTAAATCACCACTTCTAGATAAATACTTTTTCTGTAATCAATTCTTTCGTTTTCTGTATGCCCGACAGTACCTTACTCAAATAAATCCAATTCTACCTTCCCTTTGAAATGCAAATGCATTTCAATTGAAAAAAACTAGAAGCCGCAATCGAAGCAGTTTCGGTACTTTTCCCTCTCAGCGAATACCGACCAATTCGTTGACAGATCCAAAATGCACCCTAAAGAAAACTCATAGTAAAAAAAATTTGAGCGCTAGAATGACCGTGGAAGAGACAGAAAAACGGCCGCAATTCGGAAATCGCTTGATAAAAGAAGACAGTGAAATTTTCAAACACAACGCTTGGGACCGCGTCGAATGGGACGCACAACAGGAGGAAAATGCGCTGGAACAGATCAGAAAGCAAATCGAGAAGTCGGAAAATGTGGAAGAAAGAATGAAAGTGGCGGGAGAAACGGCCTCGGAAAACTGGAACTGCTTTTACGAAAAGCACGAAAACAAGTTCTTCAAAGACCGGTCTTGGTTGTTCACGGAGTTTGAACGGTTAAATCCGAAGAACTCGCCGGAACTGGTTGTGCTTGAGCTGGGCTGTGGAAATGGGTCGAATGTGGTGCCGCTTTTGGAGGCGACGACTTCGCATCAGAATTACAAAGTTTTCGGAAAGAGTTCGAATTTTTTCAAAAGATTACTTTGTTTTTTATATTATAATGTAGAAAAGCACGATCGAACTCAAATCTGGGTTGTGACTTCGCTCCAAAAAGCGTGGAAATTTGCAAAGAACTCGTGAAAAAATACGGCGATCGAGGGCATATCTTTCAGCATGATTTGGCGAGTGACGTGGCGATTGAAATTCCGGAAAAAGTAGATGTGATCATTTGCACCTTCGTGCTATCTGCCCTGCCCTTTGACAGAATGAAGAATGCCATTTCGAAAATGGCGGACTGCTTGAAACCCGGCGGGGATATTTTTTTCCGCGACTATGGAAGATATGACATGTCGCAACTCAGGTTCAAGGAAGGGTTGAAAACATTCGGAATTCTACTGATAAACCACTTTCATCGAAAATTTTTAAAACTCATAATAAGCCAACAAGAGTAGCAGGCGAAAATACCTACACAAGAGGAGACGGAACATTGGTCTACTTTTTTACAGAAGAAGATGTTGCTAATTTATTTGAATCGGTAGCTCTTCTAGTTCCACGATAAGTTGCTAATTCTTCTTTTTCCAGGCTGGTCTGAAACGCGAGCAATTGCTGACTGATAGAAGACTTCAAGTAAATCGCGCTAAACGTTTAAAAATGTACCGTGTCTGGGAGCAAGCCATTTACCGAAAAGAAGCAATCTAGATTAATGTGAAATTGTAGCATGTGATCTAAAATAAGATTCCAATTATAAATAAAAGGATTCTTTTCAGAATGTAAAATTCTAAAAATGACGGAATTGGACAGGCTTTACGCCGTTTGGCAGCGCTTTGCCTCTGGAGAATGCGATCTTTTTGAAGTTGTAGTGATAATAGAAGCCTCGGTTGATATTTCGCTAGATCATATCCCCCAAAATACCGTTTCGGCTCTCGCCACGCAGCTTGAATCTATGCTAGGTAAGAGAGCAAGACTCATCCTCTTCTTACGAGACATTCATTTTTACATCATTGTTTCAGATAAAGATGAAATCGAGCAAACAAAGCTGATCCGTCTCATTCACGTTTTACGGCGATTCTCTCGCTCGACGGACATTTCAATCAAGTTTCTTACGCGATGCTTTTCCTCCGTGCTGGACTCTTCCGACGACGAGAAATTCGAAAGCATCTTTCTTGACACACTGTTTGAGTTTTTCGAAATCATCATCGATCCCCGCAGAAACTGGCGGGACCAAAACTGCAAGAACAAATCTGACACGACGGCGCGGGGAAACATCGAAGACTTCGTTCGACCTTTGGTGGATTACGCCAGAGCCGTGGGGAGCTTTTCTGGCTCAGGCGGCTTTTTGAAGAAGCGGCTCGTTTTGCGCGTGTACGGCCTTTTGCTCAGTTCGAATATCGCGCATCATCGACTGCTGCTCACGCAAGAGCTGCTAACTGTTTTGGAGCAAGAGCTGCGGCGCTCGATTGATCCTGGCGAAGACTTCAACGGGCATTTCGAGCTTGTTCTTCGATTATTCGAGCGTTTTATTTATTCTACTCACAATTTCAAGGTACTTTTCTTTTTCAAACTAACTTTCTTTCAACCATCATCCTTCAGGGTCTTCAGCCTATTCCGCTTCGCGACTGCATTTCCTGTTTTCTGTCAATTATTCGCCACAGCGCAAACAGCCAGTTCCTCTCCTCGGTCAATCGCATCATATCGAACAGCAACAACGGCGACATTTCGACCATGCAAATGAGCTTTCTTCAAAACGGCCTTTTCGCAATTCTCAAATCGTTGATGGACGAGGACATTGACAACATCGACGCTGATACATTCCTCTCCACTGTAGAGAGACTCTCGAGCAACAATGAAAACGTGAAGGCTGCGATTATTGACGTCTGGGGATCTTGGAAGGACTTGCTCGAGCCGCTCTTCTGGCAAACAAAGAACCAAAAACAGTTCATATCCAGACTGCTTCACTTCGTAAGTAACATTGTATTCCAAGAAGTACTTTTAGAATTTTTAACCTTCAAATCAGGAGTTAGCTAGCGCAACAGTGGTGTAAATTACTGTTACTTTCAGTTCAAAGAAGAAAGCTTAAAAACGGTGAATAATTTAACAATTTATCAGTTATGTGATTCCTTCATCTCATTTATTCTTCATTTATTTGATTTTAACATTTGTGTCCATTCTTCTATTCGTCAAATTGCATGTCGATTTATAAAGACTTTCAAGTGTTTCTATGTTGCTATGAATGAGTTTAGTGCTTGGAGCGGACTTATGAAGGGACGTCTTTCGAACGGCTCAAGATTTCTGAAATTCCGACTCTTACAGTCACTTGGCTGTTGCAAGTGGACGAGTCTATTCGCCTGTGGCTAGTTGAGAAGATCGAAGATCTCTTCAAATACTCGACGGCGAATCGAGTCTTGGGCTTCGAAGCTGACATCGTTGGAGCTCTCCTCAACTATCTCGGTAATCTTGATTCTTCAAGCCACACCAAATCTAACATTTCATTTTAGAAGAAGCACACGAAAGCCATGTTCCTCGAGAAATTGTCGACAAGGTCATTTCTATCATTTCCACAGTGTCATCGTACGCTATCTCCACCGAGAATTTGACAAAACTGCTCAAGCTCATCCATGACAAACAATCCTACGGGCTAGCTTTGCTCCAGTGCTTGTCTGAAATTCCGATGGACCGTTCGCCCGCGCAGGACTTTTTCGAAATGTACGATCAAGGGACTGGCCTGTCATCGGATTATATCCAGCCGCTTTTAAATGGCTTTACTTACTTTGGCTGGTTCTGTCTTGATCCTTTTCCGGTAAAGGTTTCATGGAGACGAGTTCTCTTCAGTTTCCTGGACAAGAACTATTGCGGCTACGAGCTTTTCATTTCCGACCAAAATAAGCTTGTATTCGCGCATTTATCGAAAAGCTCCTTTACTACCGTCACTGCGGAGCTGGAAAAATCAGTCGTCGACTCTTCGTGGCACTCTATCGCAGTCCAACTGAGTCCTGCTTCGTTGCTTTCTGGCACCGCGACGTGTAGCATTTACATCGACAAGTTTTTGATCTGTTCTCACAAACTGACCACCACATCGACGGATAAACTCAAAGTGAGAATAGGATGTGGCCTGGACATGCCAAGTCAAGGAATGCCCCTGTCGAATTCGATCTCTGGAATGGCCGGCATGGCTCTTGGAAGCATTATGTCTAAAATGACCAAGTCGAAGAGCGAAGAATTCAACGACGACGGCTCCGTAAGCTGGTGCAAAGCTGAGTCAAGGGATAGAATCTGGGGACGTCCTCGAAGTGTTCACGGACTGATAGGATACCAGCTGCTTCTCAACGCCGCTGTCCCTGAAAATCTGATTCAGCTTCTTTCAGAGTGGGGGCCAAACTCTCTCGTTCAATTTCAATCAACCAATTCGGCAACATCTGACTTTCAAATATTCTTGCGTCTTTACTATCACCCGAAAAACTGCGACTCCTACTCGGTGCGGAATCTGGCACCGACAGGGCGAAACGATGCCTGTTTGACAGGAAGACTACGTGGTGCTCCTGATATTCGAGCGGCTGTTCATGCACTCTCAGGCATCTCGGTTATGTTTCCACTTCTTGATCAAATAAAAAGATGGCCGCCGGTATCTGAGCGTACTCAATTACATCCGATGGCCATTTTTATAAGACTTTTGCGGAAACTGCTCAATGGGAGTGATGTTCCATTGAAACTAATTGCTGTGGAGAATAATTCGTTTGCGATCCTTGGAGCCCTTTTGCAAAAGTTCCCCGGTCCATTGATTGATGGAAATTTTCTGTTCGAATGTCAGCGATTACTTGAAGCTTTTCCAGTTTCGGAGTTTCCTGATCTTGTATCCGATATTCGCCATTACTTGCTTTTCGACTTCCGAGTGTGGTGCCATTCTGACTACGCTACAAGAGTCAGTCATGTTCAGTATCTTTCTACTTTGATAAAAGACTCCAAACGTTTCAATCGCTCACAGTATGGCGTTTGTTTCATGCTCGATGTCATTCGGACGTACTGCTGCAAGTCGTTTCCGCTCCCATCGTCGTCGAGTAGGGATGGTGAATTATCAACCCGAAGCTCAGTTTCATCGATGGATATCGGCATTCTTCCTGAAGACGAAAAGCAAGTTCGCGGGGCGATCTTTTCTTTAGTCAAGTTTTACATGCTCAAAAACACGAACGTAGACGAAATCGACGCGATTCTTAGCTTCATCATTGTTTGCTCAGTTGGGGGCTCGGAATCAGAAGTCAGCGCCGCTGCAGAAGCACTTACATCCTGCATTGAGCTATTGAGGCGACCAGGCTGCGAGAATCTTGTACGAATCATGTTCGAAGCTGAAAAAGGAGAGCTTCTTTGGTATCTTCTTACGCTTGAAAACGCACCCGAACTACATTCATCAATCCTAAACTTATTCTTGCTCCTGTTAAAGTCGTCCCATGTCTCGGAAGAATACAGAGGTCGATTGAGACTCTCCTCAGCCGGCGGAATTCTCGGAATACTTCTAAAATCTAAAATAGCAGAATCCCGTAAAGCGCATAGCTTGCTCATTGATGTCGTGTTTACGTGCAGTTTTACAATTTCCGATCGCCTTGCACTCGTCCACTACATTGGCACGCATTCAGGAGTGAAAGAAAAGCTGAAAACAGCGAGTCTCGTTTCCGAGTGGCTTTCTGCTAGTCCAGAACAAGCGAGGCAAGCTGCTGCGATCGCTGGATGGCAAGATACTCTGGTTCGTCTTCTTCAAGTCCCCCACGGTGATAAGTTTGCCAGTGAAGCTGTAAGCGAAGAAGTTCACGAAGAGCTCGTAGAAAATGTAGTGAACTCGATCTACCAAATATCCTGGAATGGGTCAGCCAAAGGACGTCAAACTCATCTTGACAAGTGGAAAGCATCTCTTGCCGCACTGTGCTCAATTGAACGACTTGTCGGCATCGAGATGTACGTAATCACCGGTCAGCAGCTGATCCGAAAGTGGGTGGAGAAGGCAATTCTGAAAATTTACAAAGATTCTTCTGACTCTTTCAATTGTGCGAAGGATGGTGAAACCTTGTGCGTTCTTTTCTACAACTTCTACTTTCTTGAGGCAAATAGAACGAAAGTTTTGGAAGAGGCAGATTTGCAATTACTCGTGAAGTTGATGGACGCCATGTTTGTCTGGGAGAACTCAGAATCTGATGGATGGCCCGAACTTCAGGCAATTGCTATTGCAATTCTTGTTTACTCGATGAAGAGCAAGAAGATTTCCGTCATCGCTGAAGCGAGTTCACAGCTCCATCGTCTTCTTGTTGGCCACAATCGGTACTCACCGGAGAGCGCGGCGTTCGTCCTCAACGGGCTAATTCTTCTCGTGTTGTCTGAGCCCGATCAGCGTGTTTCCAGTTTCGTCATTCCAGTCATCCGCGATCTTGTCGATTCTATTCCTTGGGCGGCGTCTCGTATGCCGAATATGCCTGCACGCGAAGGAAACTTAATGCAGTTCCAGAACTCATTTATCAAGTACACCGAGTCCGATGAAATCATGGCATTCATCACTGAAGTCGCAACGCCTGCAGCGAGCAAGTTCGAACAATCATTAGACAATCACCGAATCGTGGAAATAAATTTACTTCTTCAGCAAGCTTCGGAACTGGCAATAATCGAGTCACATCACCGCGACAAGCAAAGTGGAGAAGCAAAGCTGTTACTAGAAGGGAACTTGAACGAGCCGTTCAAAACATTCCTTGAAAACGAACGCAAGCGTTATGAAAAAGCGAAGAGACAATTAGTAAACCAACATGCAGGCTCATTCCGAAGCTGGAGAAGACAGAATCGCTTCTTGGCTGGTCCAAGAGGCGCGTGGAGCAACAATAACTCACAAACTTACTCAAGTCAAAGCTCGGAAAAGCTCTCGATCGCTGACGATAAACACTGGCGATTGTCAAATGTGGAGAACTCGTTGCGTATGAGACTGAAGCTGACGCAGAACTACAACTTTGATCCTCATATTGAGGCCTCTCGAGCGAGAGACAATCGCAACATTTCGATCAAGGAAATCGAGTCATTGCCGGAGATCGAAGTAAAGCCCGTCTTGGAAGACGAAACTGATGGAGATGAGGACTGGAATGCTCTTACGCCTTCTCCAAGCAAGGAGCGTCAAAAAGAAATCGTAAAACACGTCGAGAGCTGTCAACTGATAACGCTTACTGGCGAGATCGAGGGTCGCCTGGAAATTTCGAACTTGTTTCTTTACTTCTTCGATCTGAGTGAAAAGAAGGAACTACCTCTTGGAGTGGACGAAGAGATCGAAGCGCTTTCAGATTTTAAATGGTCTTTGGCAAGTTTAAAGGCAATCTATCTCCGTCGTTATAATCAGGGATCCCAGATTTTTTCGTTTTGACGCGCGCCCCGTCTGACGCGAGCGCAAAGGATTAGCGGCCGCGCGAAAATGATTTGCGTCTGCGCGCGCCCAGCCGATTTTGAAAAGTCGCCGCGTTATCGTAGGGCGATGAATTGAGTGCGGCGCCCCGATTTCACGCTGAAACGGGCGAGCGGCGTGCGAGCGCTCGATGCAGTCAGGGCGCCGAGCTCAAACAAAACTCGTGCGCTAAATTTAGATTGTTCAATTGAAGACATAACTAGGATTAATAAAGTACTGATCTCCCCATATAAAAACGCCCAAAACATGGTTTCATACTCATTTCGAAAATGTAAAAATGGCTGAAAACTCGGAAAGGTGTACTCCACTGCACATAAGAACTTTTCAGCTTAATTACTTCCAAACAAATTGAAAATTAAAATTGTTGTTCCTTCCAGAGCTGGAAAAAAGTATACTTCCCCCCGCCCTTCAAAAATCTGCAGGGCGCCCTTCATTCTTGAAGGGCGGTGAAGTACGAAATGGCTCTGAAGTATACTTCACGCGCTGAAGTATACTTCAGCTATCGGTTCTTATCGAAAACTTTAGCTGCCACTTCATCTGCCACAATCAGCGTGATTTAAATCATGGCGCCTGAGAGCCAATAAGCGCAAAATTTGAAAAATTCTAGCGGATGGATTCTGATGGCCGACAGAACCAAGTTGAAGTAGAGTGAAGGGCGGAAAGGCGGTTGAAGTAGAGGGAAGGGCGGAAGTACACTTCACGCCCTTCAACGCCCTGCAACGCCCTGAAGTATACTTCATGAAGTATACTTCATTCTGAAGGGCGAGTGAAGTATACTTTTTACCAACGCTGGTTCCTTCACTAATTTGGAGCATATCATATGCCGCATATGTGATAAGTTTAAGGGAGTTATCGGTAACCGTTACTAACCGCCGTCTATACCAGATTATATGCGGCCAAGTTACCATCCCGCTGAGTGTTTGCACATAGAAACCAAGCCAATATCAAAAATTTGGCGCTATTAAGGGGATTACAGTCGGAGTCCAAAATAAGGGACACCAAGATAAGGGACTTTTTGGCCCGAAATGCCGAAAATCTGCGGCATGGTTTATATGATTTTAATGCTAAATTGTACCAATTTAAGGGACTTTTTACGAAAATTTTGGAGCAGAAAAAGTCCCTTATTTTGGACTCCGACTGTATATATGTTTTCAATATTGCTGATTTCAAAATTTAAATTTATTTTTCAAAAATCAAATTTAGAAATTATTTTTGAAACCCTCAAGAGAAGAATGACACTTTTCTGCAATAAGGATAAGTGGTATGCAAATTTTGATAACAGTTTCGAAATCTCTACCCCAAAGTTAGCATTAGGTAGAATTTTCAAGTTCATCCGATCAGTAGTTTTTAAATGCAGTGGAATACACCTTCTGTCCAAGCGTATCTTTCTCTCGACCTGTCCAATGCGGTTAATTTATTTCAAATATATAAACTCCTATAATCTTATTCAAAGTATGTGTTTCTTCTCATCCCAAAGCTACATTCGGATCTTGAATATCTCATCTAGTTTTCAAGAGATCACTTTTTGAATGAGCGCATATTTGGGCGCAGTCCCGGGCGAGCGTCTCAAACTCATCGGACGCGCGTCTCGATCGAGCGAGGCGACAATTTTTCATCGTCTGCTTGCGCCGCGGCGCTCTCAATTCATCGCCCGCTATCGGTCGTCATTCATGGGGACGCGGCATTTTTTCGCGCGCGCTAGGATTTTTGCGGCCACTGCGTGAATCAGAAAGTGGGCGCGCGTCAAAACGAAAGAATCTGGGATCCCTGGTTATAATCTTCGACGAACTGCAGTGGAGTTCTTTATGTTCGACCAAACCAATTATCTAGTCAATTTCAGCTCTCCAAAAGCACTTTCGAACATCATCTCGGCAATTTTATCCTCCAAACCGACCAATCTTCAATCCAGACCTAGCAAGTCAAATGAAAAACTCTTCCAGGCCTCTGGAATCACACAAAAATGGGTCAATCGCGAAATTTCAAATTTCGAATATCTCATGCAGCTGAATACATATGCCGGACGAACTTACAACGATCTCTCTCAGTATCCAGTTTTCCCATGGATTATTGCCGATTACACCTCGAATAAACTCAACCTAAAGGATCCAGCGACATTCAGGGATCTTTCATGGCCAGTTGGCGCCATGAATCCATCAGCTCGTGGCTATCTCAAGGAGAAGTTCGACAATTTCGAAGACCCAACCGGTGAAATGAAGAAATTCCACTACGGAACTCACTATTCGAACGCCCCGACTGTGATGCACTATTTAATCAGAATGGAGCCATTTACCACGCTTCATATTCAACTTCAAGGTTTGACAAATTTTCAGAAATAGAACGAGAGATTTACGATGAATATATAGGCAATAAATTTGACATTCCCGATCGGCAGTTCCACTCGATCGAGCAAACATGGAACTCGCTTTGGGAGGCGCCGGAAAACGGAGTGAAGGAATTGATTCCCGAGTTTTTCTACATGCCCGAATTCCTCGAAAACCTCAACAAATTTGACCTTGGCACAATGCAGCACACAAAAGAAGTCGTTAATGACGTGGAGATGCCGCGCTGGGCAAGTTCGCCAGAGGATTTCATCATCAAGAACAGACAAGCTCTGGAATCGGATCATGTGTCAGAGAATCTTCACAAATGGATCGATCTTATCTTTGGTTACAAACAAAGGGTAAGTTCTTTTTCTCGTATAATCTTTCTCTTTATAATTTTCTAGGGAAAAGAGGCCGAAGAGTCGTTGAATGTATTCTATCATCTGACATATGAGGGTGCTGTTGACCTTGACTCCATCAAAGACGAAGCTCAGCGTCACCAAATGGAGCAGTTTATTAACAACTTCGGCCAAACACCGACTCAGCTGCTCAAAACTCCACATCCAAAGCGAAAGTCAAAGGAAGAGCTCCGCTTAGAAAATATTAAGCCGTATCAAACCTTGGAAATGGCCTCAGTTGAGGTTATACAAAATCATATCTAACAACATCATTATTAACTACCTTTTGTATAACTTTTCCTAAGACGTTGATATTCGCAAATTCAACCTTGGAAGTTGCGCGTCTAACAGTCCGATAGTTTATTTACAAGTTCCGCGAATGCAAAGCTCTGTTGGCTATCTGACCGCTGGGGATTGCTGCTACTCAATCACAGAAAGCGGACAGCTTGGGACGCACTATCTTCAAGTGCGACCAGGGCTTCATTCTGACGGAGGATTTAAGTTTACTAAGGTAGCAAGGTTCTTTTTCTCGTTTTCTGTTATTTGGTGTTTCTAGTGCTCAAATCATTCGAACATCAATTCGGCGCAGAAGATCAACGTGCGAAAATTGGCCCGCAAACAAGTGGCAATTTCGCCAGACGGAAAAATGATCTTCACCGGTGGCCATTGGGACAATTCTGTCCGAGGATACAGCGTTTCAGAAAGAAAAACAACGTTCCACTCGCTCTGGCATTCGGATATCATCAGCTGTCTTGCTATCGACAGATACGGGCGCAGACTAATAACTGGTTCTGTCGATAGATCTTGCTGTATTTGGATAATTGGAGAGGTTTGTGTTTATAAATCTATAGTCATAATAATCGTCTTTTAGGATATAACTTCAAAACCAGCGATTACTCTTTACGGGCACAAGTCTCCGGTAGTCGACGTGGCGATCAGCAGCGAGTTGGACATGTGCGTCACCGCCGGCGCCGACGGCATTTGCAACGTCCACACTGTCCGCAAAGGCGTCTTCGTACGCACCCTTTCTTCAACCAACCAAGGGCTCTCTTCAATCACGGCGCTCTCGCTTTCTTCAGAGGGCTACATCGTCTTCTCCAGCCTCAACTTGAAGAATAACATGAGTTATCTTCACTTGTACTCTGTCAATGGGAAAATATTAGCCGTGGACTGCATCGACAATAAAATCGAACTAATGGAAACTGAAAATGATCGACTTGTCACTGCTGATAAGGAAGGTCTTTTGGAAATTCGTTGCCTCACAAGGTTTGTAAGATGTGACGAAAATGAAACTGATCGTTGCTGTTTTAGCCTCGAAGTGTTGAAATCCTTTTCTCTTCAAGAGAAAGTCCATGACGTTCATTTGACAAAGAACGGCTCACACATTCTCGTCGCCTCTGGCCAGGGAGAAGTCTGTGTCCTCGGCCCTGTGAGCCAAACCTTGTAATAATCAAGTACCATATATTCCTACTATTCCACTATTTACTTAGATAAATTCATAAACAGTAGCTCTATCAAAGTACGACTCTCGCATTCTCAAATTCAAACAATGAATCTCAAGAACTACAACTGAAAATTGTGCAAAGTAATCACACTGCTGCCTCATATTCCTACCTTGTTTCTTATTTTTTTCCATCATTCGTTTCTGTTCAGCAATTTCAATTCTTGATAATATTTAATTTAATCTCTGATTTCTTCATAAACGGTAGCTTATCTTTACTAAGAATGGTCTAGTCTTACCTTTTTTCTCCATTAGCATGGCATCGAAAGTCGAAGAGGAGTTTGAGCAGCCACCTCTTTGGGTACTCATTGTCATGTATTACAACTATACCTGCATGTACATCTTTGGCTACATCGCCGATTTCCTCCGAGCCTTCAATATCGGCAAGCCAAAGGTGAAAAAAACGATATTATCTTTGCAAGCTCGAGCAATTTTCTTTAGAAACTGGCACAAGATCTCAAGCGAAATGAAGGCTTCGCTCCTCTCCACGACGAGTTCGCCAGTTTCTTCACCCGCAACGTTTATATGCGAGTGCGAGATCGCTTCAACATGCCGATTCAGTCCGTGCCCGGGGATACTTTCGACCTTATGGAGCGCAAATCCGATGATCAAAATTGGACGTATTACTTTACGGGCAAAGCGAAGAAAGCGTTGAACTTTGGGAGTTACAATTATCTTGGCTTCGCTGAAAATACGGGCAAGTGTGCTGAAATGGCTGAGAAGACGACGGAGGAAATGGGCTGTACGCTCTCATCACCTCGGTACCATCTTTTGGGCTGAAAGGAGGTCTCATGAACGTTGTTTAGGTCCGAGCTTGGAACGACCGAGAAGCATGTTGAACTGGAAGCGCTTTGGTCAGCGTTTCTTGGTGTTGAGGCAACTCTCACTTTCGGGATGGGTTTCGCAACTAATTCGATGAATATCCCGGGTAAGTTTTGCTTTTAATATAATCCGGATTCCGGAGCTATGAACCGTTGTAGCTCGAATTGAAAATATGTTTAGCAATCGCTGGCCCTGGTTGCTTGATTCTCTCCGACGAGCTGAACCATGCAAGCCTCGTGCTAGGTATTCGTCTATCAGGGGCAAAGACGATCGTCTACAAGCACAACGACATGGAAGACCTGGAAAACCACCTCAGAAACGCAATCATCAACGGTCAAGATCGCACCTTTCGCCCGTATAAGAAAATCATTCTCGTCGTGGAAGGAATTTATTCGATGGAAGGAAGTGTCGTCAACCTTAAGAGATTGATTGAGTTGAAAAAGAAATACAAAGCGTATTTGTATCTCGATGAAGCTCATTCCATCGGCGCGCTCGGAGCTGGGGGCCGCGGAGTCGTACAACACTTTGGTAAGGATTCAATTTCACTTTTTTGCTTACGGGATATAGAGATGATTGTTAATTTATTTAATAAGACTGCGATGTTAATGATGTGGATATAATGATGGGTACTTTCACCAAGTCCTTCGGAGCAGCAGGTGGCTACATCTCTGGAAAGAAAGAAATCATCAACTACCTTCGAAAAACCTCCCACGCTCACAAATACGCTTGTTCCATGTCTCCAGGTTGGATTTTTATTTGAAATAGTTTGATAACGATTTATCAATTGAAGGTGTCTGCGAGCAGGTCATTCAAGCGATCGAGCAAGTTTCAAGCGGACGAGGAAAGCGGCGTCTAATTCAGCTGCGAGATAATTCCCTCTATTTCCGCCGAAAACTCAAGGATCTTGGCGTCATCGTCTTTGGAAACGACTTCTCTCCCGTGGTGCCTATGTTACTGTATGCTCCGTCGAAGATAGCGCTTTTTGGAAGAATGATGGAAGAGGCGGGCATTGCTGTCGTCGTTGTCGGCTTTCCAGGAAAGCGTTAAATCTCTCTCAATCTCTCTTTTGAGTGCGAATTCTCAGGGATGGAGGAAGGCCAGGTGCTTGAGCTTGACCCCTTTTGAAAAGTCGCGCTTATCAGCGACGCAGGTGATCCCAATGGGTCACAAATGCCCTTGGTTTTATTTACCTGGCGACACGGAATCTGTTTGCTCGTCTGTAAGACATTTAAGCCATGAATTACTTATTTGTGTCAAGGACCGTCTATTTGATTCGATTCTCGGTCATGGTCCCGCAATTTTCGAATAAATTACTGGTTAACATAAACAAATGATATTTTTTACCAACAGTTTACCCAAGATTTAACGCAAAAAAGCGACGCCTCTTGAATCAGGGCGAGTTCGCTTCTGTTTATCCGCGAGTCACAGTCGTGCACAGCTCGATCAGTGTCTCGCCGAAATCGACCGCATCAGCGACATTCTTCAGCTAAAACATTCCAGCCAACGCAGACTTACTTCAATTAAAAGCTAGCAAAAACAAAACAAGAAAAACTAATGCTAATACTAACTAACAAATTAAAAACCTCCTGTATATATAATTATGAAACCGATTCGTTCATAATAACATTAAGAAAGAAGAAAAAACTTGAGATTTTTGTGGCCTTATTCCTTCATATCAATCCTTCCCCTTAACGCTACAGTTACTTACTGTATTTACGCTTTATTTGTAATGTTATTGCGCTCTTTAACAAACTATCTATTTAAAGTATCAAAGTTTACAATCAGCTAAACGATCTTCTGTTTTATTATTATTTTTCCATTTTATTGTTCCTGGAAATAATCGCAAAGCTGCTGATGCATATCGTCCGGCGCTCTCCCGTGGCGCTCTCTTCCTTTTACTCCCTTTAATGGAAAACCAGCATTCTCATCGCAGTAATCGAACACGAGTCAATAAATTCCCCTTTTCAGAGGAGAAAATTGAGAGATCGAAATTTGAAGATCGAGCAACTATGCGGAGTTATTATTGATCGAAATCGAAGAAGCAGCAGAAGAAGCGAAGCTTGATTTCCCAATGACGGTACTTACTTTATTCTTATGTGGTGTGATTTTACTTTTTTAAATCTTTCATGGAAAGAATTTGACAAATTGAATCTCAATTTTGGTATTTCAAATTTTCTTTTTAGAAATTAGAATGGAAAGGATGTCCTCGCTCGAACAAAATAGAGGACATCGAAGTTCTCTTGATAGGGGACTCGATGATCAAAAGCATCAACTGCGAGCAGTTCCGGAATACGACCTGGCTTTACGCATATCCTGGAATCACGGCGGAACAACTTCGCTTCCACCTTCAAAATGAAGTTGGACTACCGCCGCCTTCAAAGATTGGAGGTAAGCCTTCTTTAGTTATTTTTTTAATATAATCTTTTTAGTGGTCTACATTCACGTTGGAACAAACAACGTGAGCACGCTCCGCGAACAAAAAGCCGGTCCAGCCATCATTCACGAGCAAAAGGGCGTCATTTCTATCGTCCAGCAAATCTACAAAAGCGCCGTTGTCCTCTGCGGAGCCATCCTTCCACGCTACGATCAGGAGAATCCTCGAGCGATAGAAGTCAACAAGGCGATTGAGAAGTACTGCCTCGACGCCAAAAACCCGCAACTCCAGTATGTTGATCTCTGGGATCGATTCTACAACCAGTCAGACTTGTACAGATACGCCCAGACGATGAACAGACGCAATTTGGATCCAGATCCTGTGCATTTGAGCGACAAGGGCGTTCAGTATCTCCAACAGGAGATCAGAAAAGACATCGAAAAAGCCGTCAAACTCAAGTAAGGATGACTCTTCGTCGATTTTATTAATAAAAATTCTTTCCCTAGACTCACTTTGAAAACGAATGTTGGAGAAGTGATGACGACAGAGGAGTGGCGCCGTTTCAGAACAATGACCTGCAACGACAGAATGACACCGAGGTTTAAAGTCACCAACTACAGAGAAGGAGCCAACACAAAGGATCAAGTTGTTCCCTACAGAGGTATTTTTGCTTTCTTTTCTCTCAGATCTTAAACTTATTATCAAGGCCCTCAGTTGTCATACTCAACGCCCATCGCCGCCGTCAACCCTCTTCCAGCTGTTCAAGAGCCCAAGACTACTGATGCCCAATCTCCCTCCGCAGATGTCGATTATAGAAAACTTAGCACTAAAATACTGCCAGAAAAGTAAGTCACTTGCGCAAAACTATCGCCTAAACAGTTGTTTTTTTTAGACCAAAACAATCATCGCCCAATTTATCTGCTCCTGTCGCGAAAACGTCACCAACTGCCCCCCGGTAAGCAATTTTTTTATCGTAAAATCATAACCTCGCTTTCTCTTTCAGCGCCAAGCAATCCGTTAATAATAATTATCGCCAACAACACATAGAGAAAAGAAGGAGATCTTCAAAATCACCGACTCGAAGGAAACGTCTTGGAAGCCCAGATCCGTCTCCAGAAAAGAGGAAAAGACGGAGGTCCACTTCGAGGAGTCGCCGCTCACGAAGTCGGTCTTCAAAGCGTCGTCAGAAAGACACGCCTCCAAGAAGGTAACTTTATTTTTATCTTCTTGATTAACAGGCTTTACTGAAGGAGTCGTCGATCCCTGGAAGTTCGCAAGACCAGACGTAGGAAGAGATCTAGTTCATCCTCCGATCGCTCACCAGAACGAAGAAGCTCCTCTTCAAAACCTTCAAGAAAGAGAAGATCAAATGAGCTCAGCCGGAAATCGCGGTCTCGTTCTCCTATAGCCCGCCGATCATCAAATTCTAGACGAAGGTCTTCTTCACGACAAAGAAGAAAGCCTCGCTCTCCATCTCCAAAAGTTCCAACAGACTCGTCTAATGTCGAATCATCGTCCTCGTCTGAGAGCGAACAGAGCGAGCAGGAGAAGACGGCTATTCTCTTCACTCAAGCGCTGCTCAAGGAGAGACTGAAGCGAAAACGCGCTGTGCAAAAAAAAACGCCTCCTCGCCAAAAGTCGAAGCCGGTCTTAGACTCTTCCTGTGACAGCGACGAAGAAGTGTATCTAACGCCAACGAAGAAGCAAGTCCAGAGAAAAGGTGTGACGAAGGCCTCGCTCGAGGAACGCCTGCGCGAAAAGAAAGTTCACAGAACAGTGAAAATCACGATGAAAGCTGTCTCTCTCGCCGCTCATGCGTCAGATGATGATGAGATTCTCACTGATACCGAGTTTGATTAACTCTTGTTTATATTAACTGTATTACTGTCCAATACAAAGTACTTTTACTCCTTTTAGTTCCTTTTTGTTTGATGCAACTACTCGCCTAATACTTTAAAACTTTAAACTTTAAGTTAGCAAAAATCATTATTTTCTGTGGTCACACTCAAACACTTTAATCTCGCCACTCACTGAACTGTAATTGTATAAAATTATTGAACTGTCAATTTCTCTTTCCATTTTTTCCTAAATCTGACAATAAAAAAATAATATTCATAGAAACATTCAAAGCATCTATTTCATTTCTAATTCTTTTCAAAGTTCAGATGATAAAACGTTCTTGAATGATCACTTCTACTCGACAGGCACGCCGGCGACTGGCGGTTTTATTCGCCACTTTCTTACTAGCATTCCTTTCAATTTTAAGTCTGATTCAAGGCAAGGGTTCTCAAGAAAAAAGAGGGAGATTCTAGGTCATTAGAACTGCTGCTAATTAATTCGCTTTATGCTTGTTAATGAACCTTGATGAAGATGAGTCTGTATCTGATATACTTTCGGAAATCGACGAGACAGCGCGCGATGTGCATCACGAAACCAAGCTCGTTCAAATTCCAAAGGTGCATCTTGTCGTTGTTGCTTGCGAGGGCAAGTCAAAATCAGCTCTCGATGAGGCTCACAATATGATCAAATCTGCTGTATTACTTTCGATAGACCCCAAGATCAAGGTAAGCATCATGGTAAAACACAACCGTCCTGATTTCAACTTTTAAAGGTGACGATTTTCACGAACGAAGGCAACGAAGACCACGTCCGAAGTCTCTTCCTAAGCTGGCCCGTGAGCGCCCAAGAGCGCATCCAACTCAATGTGAGAACAGTTCATTATCCTCTGCCGCCCGAGGAAGTGTCCGAATTTCGCGACTGGTGGGGCCCTTGCGCCTCTTTCCGTCTTTTCTTGCCCGAGGTGCTCTCTGATGTCGACTCTGTTATCTACGTCGACTCCGATGTGTTGTTTCTTGCGCCGCCTCAGGATCTCTGGTCCCACTTTGACAAGTTTGACGAACGCCAGGTGCGATTTGAACATTCCTTTTTGTCGAATTTGTTTCTATTGGCTTTTTTAGGTTGGCGCATTGGCTCCCCGAGTCGGCTGGGATTTCAAGGTCCCAGGGTCGAACCCTAACTTCATTCTCCGCGCTGGCGCTGGAATGACTCAAGTGAACTCGGGCGTTTTTCTGATGAACTTGACTCGCATGCGCGAGCCTGTGTTCAATACGGCAGAGTCAATATCGCTGAATTCTTTCAAGTGGGACAAAGATCTTTTGCTTCCGCTCTACTACAGGAATAAGAAGGACATGTTTGGCGATCAGAACTTGATCAACACGGCATTCCATTACAATCCAGGAACGGTTTTACTTTTCTTTCTAATACAAGAATGCATAAATGATTATATTTGAAAAACTTTCGAAAGAACTAATTTATTTCCTCCCCTGTCGATGGAATTATCACCACAAGTTCTGCTTTGACGCCCAAAGCGAGCGAAGCTGCCCAGAAGCGGATGAAATGGGAGCTGCGATCGCTCATGGAAATGCGAAGGAAAGTGTTTTCCAAGACTCAATTTCAAAATCATAAAAGATAGATCGCTTGGAAATCATTTGAAATAGACGTTTTACAATAATTACTCGCCCGTCTTCAAAGCTATCAACGACGGCTTCACCAAGTATAACTGGCAAAACGACTTGACGGAGCATCTTTACCGCGAAATCGAGCAGCGGGTTCGCGACCCAAGTGTCGAGAATCACGAACATTGTGGTGGCCATTCGGAGACTTTTCTCAAAACGCTAAGGATATTCGTCGAGAAGTACAAGACCCTCGATCGCGTTATATAGAATCACAGATAAACTGAATGACTGATGCATATATTTACTTCCTATTGTTCAAAAATTAGGACTTTGAAAAAGCTGTGACTCCTTCCGAAATCGCTTGAAATCGAATCGCCTTCTACGTTCTAATTCAAAAAAGAACTATGCAACGCAAAAAACTTAGTACGAAAAAAGTGCCTTAGACTTTTTAAAGGTTAAACTTATATCAAATGCAACTACGCCAATAATATTACCTATTATAGCCGAAAATCCCTTCCTTCAACTCTAGTTATTTTTTCTCAAAAGCCAAGCTTCTTGAAGGCCTTTCCTTCGTCGAACATATTGATGATTAATCTGCGCTGTTGCTACAGCCGTTTAACCATTTGTTCGCTACGCTGACTCCTATGTAAATATCATCTCGACCATGATCGCTCACTTCTTTAAAAACTTTTTTTTCTTGCCTGATGATGATAACACAACTTTTCTGTTTTTTTTTCAAAACTTCCATTCTGTATTATTACCTACTTCTGCAATTATCTTATTCCTACACTTCTAAAGAGCAATTTATGATACTCCCGCAACAATGAGATTATTTATGAATAGTTTCTCTTCAACCCCGTTCTCTTCAGAGAACAAGAAACAATGTCGCGGGACTCGAAGAGCCCCTCGATCAACTTTGATACGGACAGTTCCGATTCCGACAGCGAGCCAGATCTGCCGCCAGCGCACACGCCCTCGCCACTTCTAGCGCCAACGCCGACAATGGCCGAGCGGTAAGCAAACAAAGAAGTGTCCTAGAATCCCCCTAAAATGCCACCACAATTTACTGCATAACGCGTGTGGGCACCTTTGTCAACTCGAATAGTGGAATGTCTTTTATGATTTGAAAACAGTGGCATTTTTCAGTCTAAAGCGCGCGAATGAAGATCTCAACTCGAATCCCTCGCCCCCAAGCTCAAGAATATCCAGAATCGGCTTCAGAGAAGACATGGAAGACGTCCTCGAATTCGACGACAAGTAAGAAATTTTTCCTTCTCTAAAAATTTAGCAATTCTTCAGCGAAGCTGCGCAAGCGCCGAAACACGCAACCCCTACCCGTGGAATTTCACCGTTAGCACGAGAAACGCACATAACTGAACAGTACCCAGGCGAGCAGATTCCTCCAGCCAAAAGGAATAGTCGCACTCAACTATCAGCTTTTAACTTTTTTATATAGCTTTAACTTTTTTTATTTTCTGAAAATGAGCTTGTTTATGAGACTTGAACAGTCCGTCTCCTCGATCTCCTTCGCCTCAGCAAAACTCGACACCGCAACCGCCTCCCGCGACGATTGTGAAAAGCCCCTCTCCAGAGCCACAAGTGGAACCACAGACAGCTCCACAGACAACGAGCGAGCCGCCAGTCGAAGAAGCGGCTGATCTGGGCACAGGTGGGCGGTTTTTGACCGAAGTCAACGGCACATTTCAAATGGACTTTCAAGACGAAAAAGAGGAGGAAGAGGACGAATTGCCAGAAGATGAGAGTCCTATTAAATCTAAGGTAAGAGGAGCTAAATTTAATTGGTATCTTCTTAATAGTCATTCATAGCGGCACGATCCAATTCCAGAGTATAAGTCGCCTTATGGTCTGACAAAAGAACAAAAGAAACTCGGCCGTCAGCGTAAACTTGCTCAACACAGGAAGAAAGTCGCAGAAGAAGAGCTCGAGCAAGTGGAGCGCAGCGAAAAGCGGGTAAAGCATTTTTCCGTTTGAATTTTCGCTTATTTTTCGCGGTTTAGGAAGAGGCCGAACGCAGTTTCAATGCCTGGCTCAAACAGAAGAATCAGATGAATAAGAAGCTTAAGCCGAAAGATGATGTTAACTCGTCCAGAATGATGAAAGAGCAACTTTCAGAAGAAGAACGAAACGGTAAGGAAGCCAAAATGACAGAAAAAGAAAGTGGTTTTCAGATATTTGGGAGGAGTGGAAAAGACAGAAGGCCCAAGAGAACCATCGAAAACGTCTCGTCCAGGTAATTTGCAAAAACGCTGATAAGTATTCAAATTTCTAATTGATGAGATGGAAATTCGTCAAATATTTACGTCAAAAATTCCAATTTACATGCTAATTTCGTGTTTAGCACCAACAAGAGATTGAAAAAATGGAAGGTCTGTACGTCAGGAGTCGACAAGAAAACGACAAGGCTTTCCGCAAGTGGGTTAAAAAGAAGGAAAAGGAAGAAAGAATTCAGCAGGAAATTCATTACCGACAAGTTCAGGTAATTTTCAAATAGGTTTTTGTGAAGTTTGGAATCAAGGAAGAAAATTAAATAAAACTGACCTAGTTAGACAAATATTTTTCTTTTCGAAAATGCTTGTACCAGAGTTCGCGATGTCCTAACAAGAGAATCTGGCGTCATGTATAAATAGAGCTGAGTAGATGTAAGCTTACTGAATCAGAAGTTAGGATGAGTACCTGGATTTGTAATGGGTTAGATTCTTGGGGTTGAAGGTCAATAAGATGAATCAGAATTATCTGCTCATGGGAATATACCCTGAACTTTAGGCGGCCAAAGAAGAATTGCGAGCGATCAAACGAAATCAGAAGCGAAATGCGCTACTGGACGCTGCCCGGGTCGCGTCGATATTGGATTACTACTGAATCACAGCCGTCCTTAAAAGAATTAAATTTTTCCAAGATTAACTCATGTTTTATTTTTTTCTAACTCATTGTGACTAAATTGACCTCTTCTTTTCTTTCTCTGATCCCTTCCTGCTTTCAGCTCAATTCAACAATTTCAAAATTTCAATTTCTTTTCTATTCCATTTCCGCATTTTATTATTATTATTTTTATATTCTGTACACTACCTTATTCTTTTCATAGCTCAAAACTAGTTTTCTATTTGTTTAAATCGGTAAATAAAGATTTATTTTTCAACAAAAAAAAAACAATCTTATGAATGATGCATTCAAGCACAAGTATCATCATGAGTTGCATTTTTATCCCATGACCAGTCGGATCAGTCGCCTTAGGCTGGTACTAACCGGTTCAATCAATGCTCCTGACTAGTGCTGGTCTAGTTTCTTACTCGAGTCAACAAATAGCCAGAGTATTTTCCATATGTTTTGAAGATCATTATTAATCAGATGTTGTTTTTCCTCTATGACGAGTTTTTGATTTTTCTTTGAGAATTAAGTTATTTAGTTTCTCGACTACATGTAGCGATGTCAAAATGTCAGTATTTAAGAGGATCATATAACAGAAAATTAAAGCCGTTAGCATCAAAAAAGTAGACACTCTCGTTTTTGAGGGGCACTGTTGATCACCTTAAAATTGAGTCATTAAAGTTAGTTACACACTTTTAGTAAACACTTTTGTATAAAAAGGGTTGAGAAAAGACTAAAACGATAGATCGAGAGTTTCAAAATTGGCTCTCTTTTCCTATGCTTTTATGAAAAAAAGAATATAGAGAGCATTTGTGATTCGCTTTGGTTCAATTTAGCGACAATTGCCCAGTCTCTGGGGAGGCGAACAACTCATCTAGGTGTAGGGATGACTGTGCCGATTACTTTTTGTCTTCTTCTTGTTCGTTCCCGTCGACAGGGGATGCTCCTGAATGATGACTAACTGAACTGAAAAAAAACTCATTTAGAGCGCCACCACGGACGGGACGCCTCACTTCGAATGGACATTTTCAGATTTGGAAAAATATTGAAAAACACTCTTGAGAAGCTCAAGGCTTTCGAGAAATCAGAGAAAGGGCAACTCGCAACCAGCTAGAGATAACAAAGCAGAACAGTACGATGGAGAGTACGAACTCTGGTAAGGTGCAACTACTCGCGGGCAGCAGCGGGGGCACGGTGCACCAGACGAAGCGGCGGACCAAGGTGATCCAGAAGGTGGGAAGTCCAAATGGAACCGTGCGCGAAATCGATGCTGGGCTCGTCATCGCTGGGCATAGGTACTTTAGTTTTTTTTTGATGATACATTCATTTTGATGTAACTCAAATCCGAGAGTCTTTGTCAATGTCACTTGGGCCATAAAAACGACAATTTTATGACAATAGCACTGGCAATTACCCTATTTCAATCTTAAAGCATATGTATCGTTACGTTGAATTAATGAATATTTCAGCATTCTGTATCGCGATCAGCAATCACGCACGGTGCTGAAACCTTTCCAAGCGCCTCCACGCGGGGAGAAAGAAGCCAATTTCTACACTGAGGTACAAGTTGTTGAGCTACCAAAAGCGGCAGTGAGATTTATTGACTCGCGCGTAAATTTTACGACACTTTGGGCTCTCATTTGGCGTGCGGACTGCTCTCCACTCGCAATAACACGATACAGACGCTTTCATCTCCAGTCGTTATACTTGTTGTTTCCGGCCACTTACTTACAACAAACATGATGTTAAATTATTATTTGTCTTTTAATAGGATTATGAAAGTTTTTACAGCTCGTACTGGGCCTTGATTTCGAGCACTTTTACGTGCTGAAATGGCAGAATTGTCGAAGACTTCTGAATCAATCATTATTAAATCATTTTGTTCAGTCAGAATTCTTCGAAAAAGGCGCCGAGTGCCTTGATGTAGAACGGCGTTTTGAAAGGAATGATTGTGCTGTATTACGGATGACTGAACAATCAATGTCACCTCGCAGCGTTTTTCAATCGGGCTCGCCCCCGGTCTGAGTTATCCAAATATGTCTACGGGCATTCATTCATTTATTGCGAATCTGTTTCCTTTTATCAAAAGAATTGAAGCCCGAAATTGAACCAACGCTTTTAATGAGCCCCTTTTTCTCAAAAACTACACTAACAAAGTTCGTTCAATAACAGTATTTTATAAGATTACGAAGGCGGCGACTCCGGAGGCGAAGATCTTGCGAAGCTTGTGTCCTCGATTCTACGGCGTGGTGGAATCCAGCGAGCCCAACGCGGCGCATTCCGCATTCATCAGATTGGAGGATCTGACACGTCCCTTCCGCGACCCGTGCATTTGCGACATTAAAATGGGTCGCGTGACCTACGATCCAGACGCCACTGAGGAGAAGAAGCGAAAAGAGTCTGTCAAATATCCACCTCTGGTGAACACTGGCTTCCAACTTCTAGGCTGCAGAGTAAGCAAAAATCTTCCCTCAAGAATCATTTATTATTGACGATGTTTAGATCTCCAGTGATTCCGGGTCAACGGCTCAAAAGCTTGACAAGAAGTGGGGACGATCGTTGGACGAAGATCAACTCGTCAACATCGGCCTCGGCAAGTTTCTCTCTTCGGCGGGTCCCTACGAGCGCAACATTTTAATAATCAAGGGAATCCTGGAACGCCTGTTGCTAATTCGTGATTTCTTCGCCGCCCAGACGAGTTATCGCTTTTACGCCTCCTCCTTGTTGATATTATACGAAGGGTACTCTCCAGCAGAGCTTGGAAGTCAGGTAAATCTAAAGCTAAAGCTAGAAAAGTCTAGTACACCTCGATTTCGCAAACCGCGTTATTCAATCGAGAATTACGATGTTACTTCCTCGCATGGCTGAGTGAGCAAATTAGTCTAATTGTAAATTAGGGAAGTTCGGATTCGGAAGACGACCGCTGGAGGCCTGACAAACCCCGCGTGGATGTTCGCATGATTGATTTCGCACACGTTTGGGATGGCGACGGTTGCAACTTAGACGAGAACTATCTCTTTGGTCTGAACAAGCTGATCTTGGCGTTTGAATCGCTGCTGATAGAGGGCACAGATCCGCAAGGCTCGCCTATTTAACTCATTCTATTCCGCTCATTCTATCTCATATTCGGATACACAGTTATTCTTCAGTTATTCAAACAAGCCTTCCAGCTACAATTTCACTTTCAACCTTTCAAGAACGATTCAACTTGAGCTTACATTCATAGAGCATCAGAAAATCACGACCATTCAAGTTCAACAATCCAAAAACGTGCGTGATACACCCCTTAACATCCAAGTACAGATAAGCTACAGCAACAGTCTCAAAGTCGTTATTAATCCTGAACAATTTCCAACAAAGATCTTCTTTCTTTTCTTTCTGTTTCTTTCAAAGTATTCAACTCTTGCGCTCTTGTAGCTCATTTCCGTCCTGCACTGCGATAACTTGGACATTCGACTTATTCCCGCCGCTCAGCGCATACTAACAGAACGTTTGCATATAATCATATAAATATCGTTTCTACTGAAAATCAAAAAAGCTTATCTGAAAACCTAGCTCACTTTCCAATGCCACCAGACTTCATGTCATCACTCAAAGTCGTTTACACACCTACCTGTAGATAGAAACTGTGTGTATGAAATTTGTTTGGCGACTGATCATACTTTCTTTGTAATAATCTTATCCTCTCCACAGCAATAACCGTAAAAGGTTTATTTTATCGGAAATACATGCACACCTAAGAACTTCAATTCAATTCCCTTGAAATCGTCTTTCTTGAGTTAAATTTTATTTTTTGTTGATATCGAACCGGACCAGAGTCCAAAGAAGATATAGAGTAATAGTAGATTTAGGGCAGAAGTAGAGTTTGGAATTACAGAGCAATGATTTACAAGCGCGGTGGTTTCTTTGTCTTGCGGATGTTGTTTGGTGCTTTTCCTTGATTTGGTTTTTTCTTGACGAATTTCTTCTCGCGCTTGACTTGCTGGTCCTTGTTGATTGCAGTATCCTCCACCTTCTTTTCCTCTGGTGTGTCTAGTTTTGGCGCACATAAGACCACTTTCTTTACAGACTTTGGAAGTCTCTTGAATTCGTTGGATCTGTCAGGTGATGATTGAGGAGTAGGTTCGAATACAGTGTTCATGAAAAGATGCGTGTGCATCTTCGCTTGCATGTGATCGTTCCCAAAGAGACAGCAAGAGCAATTTCTTCCTTCAACAGGCCCCTGTTTCTTGATCAGCATTCGTCGCCTGCGTTTGATGAAAGTTCCGACATGGTCAGTTAGCTTCTTATCCTTGCTGCAGAAAAGATGCCTTGCTGGTCTAAAATCCGGGTCGTTCCAGAGAGATTCCTCTTTCGTAACAAGGGTTCCCTTGTAGACAGCTGCAATCGTGTCCATGAAAACGCAGTAAATGTCATCCATTAGTGTCCCCATACAAAATCGGTCTCTAATACGGATGTCTGGCACTTGGATTTTGCATTTGCAGGAGAGCTCAAAGTCGTAGTAGTCGCTTCCTCTCTTCACGAATTTGATCTGGAATCTTGGGTAGTCTTTGTAGCCATCGAGTTTCAAATATTGAGTGCTCATTTTCTGTTTTCCTTGTTTTTTTGATGATGTAGAGTTCTGCTGAGCGATTAAATACCGGAAGAGCGTCCGAAAGAGGGCGCAAAGTGATCAATAAGCATGCACCGCTGGAGTCTGGCGGCGGGACTCCCGCCGGGGCAGGTGATAATCAGTGCGGTGGGAACTGGCATTCCGCTGAGGAGGAATATCCGAAGATAAGCTCACACACATCTGCGCCCTTTTCTATCCAATTATTCTTTGACAATATTGAATGGCATAGTCGGAGATAATTTTACGTCTGAATTAAATTCCGTCTACTTATCCCCTCAACAGGCGAGTCCAACCGGAAATGGGTAGGAAACAAGACTTATTACTGTAGCCAATCAGTTGGCCTAATCTATCATTGGAAAAAGCAAAAGCGTAGGCGAAAACCGATGTTCTTCTTTTCCGTAAAAAGTCTCTTTCGAGAATGTCTATTTCGAATTTTGCGGTTGCGTGGACTGTCCGTTGCGCCTCCGCTCGAAAACCTGCATTTCGCTGAAACCAATTTTCAAGATAGAGAGAAGTCCACTCTGATTTTTTTCTTTTTAGAAAGAATGGGGCAAAAAATCTACTTCCTGCCCTTGTCGGACAAGGGCAAAGAACAACTCACAGAAGCAGAGGCTCATCTTAGAAACGCGAAATTGCAATGGACAGAGATAAGCTGCGACGAAATCAACTCGAAGAGCTGCCTCAGACAGTACATCGACAAGTCCATTTTTATCGTCAGTCCTCTAGCAGGAGATACCTATAATAGGTAAGTCGATTTCTACAAGCTGATAGTTGATGAAACTTTCAAACTTTAGGCTCGTCGAAAACGGAGCGAAAATCTACGGCGTTGGGGCGATCATTTCCAGTCTTCAGTTGCAAGTCGCTCTGCCAAGAAAACAAAAAGACTTCTCCAAGGTACGCGTTTTCCTCATTCTCCTCTATTCATTATCTAGGGATGTCTTTCGTCTCTTGCACTAAGAGGGATGAACATCTGTTTTACGAATATACCAAAACCGAATCGCGAGAAGCTACAAGCTCAAGTCACCCGTATGGCTGGAAATATCTGCTCGACAATGACTCAAGATGTAAACGTTCTCGTCGTTGGCGAAGTTTGCTCCAAGAAATATATTGTTGCAAGCGAGCTAGGGTAAGAGAAGAGTGGTAAGAAAAGTATATTAACGCTTGATTTCAGAATAAAGACAGTTACGCCCGATTTCATAACTGATATCTGGAATCTGTCGGTTGATCACATTCGCCCTGTCGTTCCCGATTCTGATCTCTACAAGGATCTGCTGAAAAACCACGCTTGTCCGATCTTCCACGGCTGCGTGGTAAGCGTTACGAACATTGACTCGCAATCCCGCGCCGAGATCTCGAAACTCGTCGTCGCCAACGGTGGTGGTTACAACGGCACGCTGGACAGAAACCAAGTGACGCACTTGGTCGCTGGCGGCCCGGGTGGAAAGAAGCTGAAGCATGCGCACTCGTGGGGCATCGAAACGGTCACGTTGGATTGGATTGATGACTCGCTCGCGCGAGGCTTTGCGCAGGATACCCAGCAGACGAAGTACAAATTCAACGAAGAGAGGTACTCTTCCTTGATTGCTTTTATGTTAATTCAATATTTCTTTTGCTAGCTTTGCCGAGCAACCGAGTCAGATCGAGACTACCTCGAGAGGGATTGTGAACGAAACCGAGATCGACGAGAAGACGGACATGTTCGATCTGGACAAATTCGCGGCGAAAGATCACGACATCGAGGAGGATGCTTTCAACCGAGTGAGCGCTTTTATCAGCGGATTTCCTGCGCGTGGAAAGAAAAAGCTGAAGGAGCTGATTCAAAAAGGAGGTGGGATGGTTTTCGACTCTCTGACGCCGAGTATAACGCACATGATCGTGGCGAGACAGAGCTTAGAGAACAATGAGGATCTTGCCTTCTGGAGAGCGATGACGTCTGGAAGGCCAATAGGTACTTTAGTTTTTTATCTTTCAATACTAGCAATACTTTAGCGATCGATCTTTTCTGGGTGATAAACACAATTAAAAATGGCGAAAGAGAGAACCCGGACGGCTACAAGGTCCTGAATATGGAAGGCACAGTGAACGAAGGAGATGAGACACTGAGAATTGAAGCGCGCTCTTTCAATGGAGATATTCCAAAGAATCCCGAAAACGGAGACTTCGAACAGTCGACGTTCGGAACTCTAGGTAACAAAGAAGTTGAACCAGTTGATCATTAAAAGACTCATTCTAGAGGTGACCGAGAGTCAAGCAGTTCAATCTACTCTTCACAACTCACATATCAGATCACCACGAAAAAGCACATTTATTAATCACAATACATCAACAAGGGAAACAACAAGGGAAGCACCGAATCACAGCACACGAAAATCAAATATACCACTGCCAATTGAACGTGAAACATACGAGGAGCCAAGCTTGGTAACAATTCGAATTCTGCCCGGAGGAGAGGATCATCCCATGAGAAAGGTGTTCGGCGTTGAGGACTTCTGGGCGAGGAAAAATTGCACGCTCGTTGCCAATTACGATCGAAACGAGAAGGTGGACTATGCGGTTAGCTTCTTGCTGGTAAGAGGCGACTTGGACGACTGGGAAGGGAGTTTCGAGAGCTGCTTCTATTTCGAAGGCTTGGAAAATACGGAAGACATCGAGAGCGTTGAAGAGCGTGAGAATACAAGAGTCTACTGGTGCTGTTCTCCACGACTCTTCAGTGGAGCGGGATTTTGCACGGCGAAGTACCAAGAAAACGAGAAGAAAATGGTGCGTCAAGCGGTCGAAGCTGGCGGCGGTGCGTTCTCGGCTTCGATGGATAGAAATGTGACCCATGTGATTGCGCCTGATTGGAATGGGCCTAAACAACTCAAGGCCATTTCTTCTGGCTTGTCGTGCGTCACTCTAGACTGGATACTCGCTTGTCTAGAACAGAGCCTTAGTGATAGCGCGTTGACTTGGCATTCAGTGCCGATGGATGATTTCGCACCAGCTGGTCAAAAGCCAAAGCCAGCGCTGCCGAAGCCTATTCCAAGCAGTTCAAAAAAGCGAAAAGCGGACAGATATGGCTCAGTGATGGTCGAGTCGCCTTGTGTAGCGAACGCGAACCAGCGGACTCCTCACATTGCGAGCAGACCCAACTTGACGGAAATGGCAAAGCTCGTCGAGACACCAAAGAACATGCGCGATCCAACACTGCCGAGTACCTCAGAGTGCAAGCGAATATTGAAGCAAGCGGTGAAAGACTCGGACGTAGACAGATGCAAGCGGGACGGAATTGGCATCTATTCGAAGTCAGCGATAAGAGATCGAGAAAGACGAGCGCTAGAGCCGAAGACGCCAAAAGCGCAAAACGTTCCCATTCCGAAGCTTGTATTCGACAATTCGGACAAAGGCATCTTCGACGGCTACAGCCTGTATATACACGAGAGCATTACATCACAGCGGAATAGAAATTTAGTCGAAAAAGTCGAAGGTATGGGCGCCGTCATCACTTACGCCTTCGACGGGAGCCAAAACATTACCCACTGTGTCATCGCCGACGATATGGCGCAAGGAGAGGCTCTCGACGAAATCATAAAATTAACGGATGAGTACAGTATCTGCCTCGTGAAGTTTTCATGGCTCCTGCATGCTCTTTCAACCAATAGAGTACCAGGTTGGTTAATTTTTTTATCAGTTTTGTCAATTTTGTTTCTAGCTGTCGACAAATTCCAAAATATCAAGCGGGCAAAGGAGCCACTTTTTCCGATATTGAAAAATGAGCTCAATCCAAATAGTGTTCGCAAATCGGTACAGTTAACGATTGAATTTTAATTAATGTTTTCAAAAGGTAACGCCTAGTGGCAGGAGGGGACGACACAAACGAACCCGCAGTCGCTTAGACATTGAAGAGGATGACCAGCGATGTTTTTCTGGAAGCGATGACGATAGCGCTCATAAGATTAAAAGAGTCGACAGTCCTCATGACGAAATTGAGGAGTTGAGCTCCGGCGATTTTAATGACCGCACGGTCGATTTAAAGTCGCCCGATCGCTTGGACAGGATAGCTAATCAACAGCACAGAGTTATTTTTTCGCTCGTCTCAAAGGCCACACAAGAGACCCTCAAAAAGATGATTGAAGGTGAGGATAAGTAGGTCTAGTCGCCTTTGAATCACTTTTTCAGAGATAAATGGCAGCTCGGTTTCTACGGCTACTTCTTACGATCAAAAGGCGACGATGCTGATCTTCGAGAAAGATCCGATTAGGAACGAGAAGATCAGCGCTGCTATCGTCAGTGGCATACCCTGCTGTCACGTGTCTTATGTCAAAAACAGCTACCATCAGAATGACAAGTAAACTTTTTTAAAACCGGGCTGATAAAAACTATTATCTAACTTTCACATCTAAGGAAATGGCTGGACCCACTGGACTATCCTCACGAGGTGAACATTTCAGAAAACACCGATGCGAAGGCAATGCGATCGAAGTCTGAGTCAAGGGATGTCGTCCGTGCCATCATGCAGTGGTACGAACGCCTCCAAATCAACCCCGAACAAAAGTACGACTTGTCCGCTTTACTTCCAGTTGATCACTTATTTAGGTTTTTGCGCGGTGGAAAGTCTGGCTCATGTACCACGGGGGCCGGGGCTGTCCTTCCTCGAGCTTTTCACGAATTCTTGCTGCTGGAGGAGCAACTATTATTGGAAGGAGCATCATGTGGACTGATATAGAAGAGGTACTACTTTCTGTTCGATTCAAATAACCCTGTTTATAGCATATTGATGATATTTCTCACATCCTTGCTCCGAGAGAAAACGACGCACTTATAAACCCGGAGAATCTGGCTCTCTGTCTCAACAAGAGCATCGCCGTCGCCAGTGGAGACGTCATCTCCAAAGCGATCATAAAGAATCTGTCAGACAGACAGGATGGAGTTTTCGAAGCGACTTCGTTCTTGCCGTCTTACGACGCCGCCCGAAAGAAAAAATTCAACCTGTAATCCCCCAAGAAGAAGATTCGAATGCTCACCGGCAGTATTATTTATATTCTTGTATGTTCAACACGATTTTCACGCACTGCCCACACACTTACAACATTCGAATACACATGAACTGCGGAAGAAATGATCAAAGAAAGAAATCAGAATCATTTCATGACTTCTTTCTCTGCTGCTAGAGGAACAGTGTCATTCAACAAAGCATATGAATCATATGATATGATATGCATCGCTTTGAGCTCAATCGAGTCTACTTAGAAAGTCTTCCATGTCTCCGCAATTAGTAAAACCCTTTTTTCATTAAATACGCATGAGTATGATCAATTAGACATAAATTATAACACGATGATGTACATTGCGCCTAATAATTATTATTTTGAATGTCGTCTTTCAGAACTTGATTAATGTACAGCTGAGAGATGTATGTTACATGCAGCATGTACTTCTCTGGATTGCGAACTGTCAAGTTAAAAACTCGCATTTTGACATCATGATTTAGAAAACGTGAGGTTCTGCTAATACGTAATGTAAAAACAGGGATATACAGGGTACAAGATCGTTTATATTTTATTTTTTTAGCGATAATGGTAGGACTGGAGGCTGATAAGTTCATCAGTCAAAGACCTTAAGAATGTTTCGTTTTCTGAATGCCTTACGACAGGTCGGACATGAATTCCGAGGAAGAGAAAAGAGACAGTTGTAGCAGGCTTTGTGACCGCAGGTAGTGAGAACAGCTTCAGGGTGATTTTCATCGAAAATCTCGAAGCAGACTTTGCAGTTGGGTTTGTTTTCTTCTTCTCTATCAGTTCTAGGCCTTTTCGGCTCAGGCAGTTCTAAAATTTCTTTTGAAAATAACCTTATTGTTGTAATCAAGACTATCGCGCTTATAAAATTTTGATAAATCCTACCGTCATCGTTGTTATCCTCCTTCATTGCGTCTTTTGTGAGGAACAAGGACCTCTTTTGAACTTTCTTGCGAAATGTTTTTATCTTCTCCAGCTCTTTGTTGCTCTTCGCTGCCTCTCTTTTTGCATCTTCGTCAGCTTTTTTAGCCTTTTCCATCATTTTCTTTGCCTCTTCCACCAATTTCTTGCCTTCCTCTACCTTTTTCTTTGCCTCTTCCATCAATTTCTTGCTCTCGTCTACCTTTTTCTTTGCATCTTCAGCTTTCATTTCTGCAATGCCTTCTTGCTTCCGAGTTTTTTCATAAATTTCGTTGACAATCGCAAGGACCTCATATTTATCTAAAATTTTTCTATGTTAAAACTTCAATAGATTTCGGTAAGTCATTAAAAGTTATCTTGTCCATACGCTTTTCAATTACAGTAGCAGCATTCTGACAGCATGAGCCAATGTGGAACTCTGTGTAACTTAGTTGGTCTGCGCCACAACCTTTGTCGATACCAGCCCGGCATTTGAATTTAGCATCGGTTTCCTCAAACCTTGTTGCAGATAAATTCGGATAATATTTGGCAGCGCAAATATTGCAGTATCGACGGCTCCATAAAATCGCAGTTGATCCTCTTGCGCTAAATAATAAATTGTGCTATTTATTCCGAACTCTACTAAATTTTTAATTTCAGTATTTTACTAACTTTCCACAATGATCACATTTCCCAATCAACCCATAAGATGTGATATAACTCTCATTCACTTTCAGGGTTTTCGATATCTCTTTCATGTTCCCAGTAAAAAAATATTAATTTCTGAAACTGGCTTTTGCTTTTTTTTTTTTATTTTGTGTCCGCCGTTTTTCGTTTGAATCGTTTTGGGAAATACAGACTCTTCTCGAGAAGATTTGATCAATGTTAAAGAATCTATCAAAATATAGATTTTGAACCACTTCTCGCGAATTTTCACATCCGAACCTCACAAAGTAATTTTGATTGATAAGCATTTCCGATGCTAGAAAGAAAAATTATGCAATGAGTTGCCCTCGCGTCTAGTGCATAAACGTAAAAAGAAATATTCGTTTTATCACTACGTACGCCTGGGCAAAGTGGCTAGGCCACGCCTTCTAAATTCGTTTGCTGGAGAGAGTTTTGCTAAATAGCAGTGCTCTTAATTAGAACTGTGTCGACCTTTTCGATGGCTTTAAAAGAGGTGACGCCCTCAGCCTTCGCCTCAGTACAGCAACAAGTACCACAGGACAAACAATACATTGTTTTTTTCACGATGAAGCTCAAAGGACAGTGATATCGCCATAAAAGCAAATCGCTCCCCAATTTTCTTCAGCTTCCTGCTAAGGCTTGTAGTGACCTGCTTATCGGTTTGATTAACAACTACCTTGCACGTTTTAGTTTATAGTACCATATAAACTTGGAAAAGAGAATCCCAAAGAAACCAAATTTACTTGGCAACTGTTTAAATATTCACTATCTTCAGTTAGAATCAAATTAATTGATTGCCATTAGGTTGATCAGAAAGAACTCTAGTTCGCCCTTACTTATTCATCATAAGTGATGATTAATATCGTAAAAATAAATTATATACTTATTTTCAAAAGCTCACCTTAATTTTGCTTGCGAATAAAAAAATAATGATTACGAAGAAATGAAAACATCACTTGCTAGCGTCAATTCTCTCTTCCTTAGTTCTGAAGGCTCGTTCGATGGCTGTCACTACTGAAATGGTAAAGTAGATGAAGTAAGGACTTAGAAGCGTATTTCGTAAGCTTGAGTTTGGAGAGAAACCTCATCTGTTTATTTCGCTAGCCTTTGCCGCCGACGCAGATAATGGCTTCCGAGATTTACGTTACTGAGCCTGAGCCTACTTCCCCCTTCGTCCTACGCGAATAGAACATCCTTGATCCAGATGACTGTTCCATCTTGTATATAAACAAATATCTCCTTTCCCGATACTCAATAATAAAATCCCTGACGATAAACAAAAACATCTCTCCAGTTTTTTTAGGAAATTTAATTGTAAATTATTATGTACAGAAGTTTTACAGGCATAAACAATAAATTTAAAAAAGGGAATCAGAATAATCAATTATTACTGACGGTTTCTGTAATCCAGTCTCTCGTGACAAAGGTTGATGTGTAGAGTCCAGGCTCACCCTTCCACGCGCAGCCGTTTCCGCGCGAAACGACACCGACAACAGTGGCGAAGCCGTTTCGCTCGCAGATGAGGGCTCCTCCTGAGTCACCTTGACAAGCATCGAAACCACCATCGATAAGGTTGTCCCCGTCGTAGTCGGGCTGGCCCGCGCAGATGTCATCTTAATTAAACACGTTCGTAGAGAAAGAAACTACATTTCGAAATTCTTCCTTGCGAATATCTTACCTGGTCTTGGGATGATAGTATTTGAGTGTTTCTGACAGTAAGCGTGATCGAAAATATTAATGCCAACGGATTGAAGTAGACGTGCTGCACCGCTACCGTATCGAGTGGCTCCCCAGCCACCGACCCAGCAAGCATCTCCATGGGTAACATCTTCTGTTGGGAGGCAGGCCGTCTTGACGACATCCTTGTTTGGTGCCTTGTCGATGATGTTTTCGTCGAATCGCAGCAAACAAACGTCGTAGTTCATCTTCGTGCCGTCGTCAGTAGCATCGTAGTATTTTGGGTGGATGAACATCTGTTTCGTCGTGAGCGCAAACTCTTCGGCCGAGCTTCCCCATCGATCGTGCTCACCAAACTTGGCGGTGATACTGACGATGCCTCTGCAACAATGGGCAGCAGTGACTACCCATCGATCAGCAATGATTGAGCCGGCGCACTGGCCGGTCCAACCGCTTGTTGTCTTCACGCCCAGCAAAGCCATCCATGGCATACTATGCGCCTCGGCGGTTTCTCCGCCGACGATTCTATCGCCGCCAATGAGTCGTGCTCCACCAACTCCTCCTGGGAAGTTTGTTGCTTCAGAACATGTCTTGAGTCCAGGAGGTAAAAGTTTCGTTGTTTTCTTGAACTCCGGAATCGGCGCCTCCTCTCCATCCGCTAGACAGTCATCTGAAGCGACAAACGCCTGGCCAACCGAGATATGCCATCCGATCTTATCGCCGTACGCACTGCACGTCACGAGATATCTTACATTAGAGTTGGGATTGTTACAATCAGGGACGCAGTTCTTATTTCCATCGTCGTCGGTGCACTTCCATTGTCCGTTCGAGAGTGGGTAGAGTTCGTTTACGTCATCCACAGAGCAATCAAATCGTGCACAGGAATTAGGCCAATCCTGCAGAGTAGATCCCCATAATCCGTTTTCGCATTCACCTTGGCCCATGACTGAGCCATCGTCGCAGACGAGATCATACACATGACGTTCATCATTATCTCCAGCCATTCCGACGAATGACAGGCTTCCGCTTGGGGTTTCAATCTCTGGCTTTTTACACAACTGCTCCAAGGAAGGCTTGCAAGCTTAAAAATTAATTTATAAATTTTTTCTCAAAAATATTTTTATCAAGAATAAAATTTGGAATAAGAAAGACTCGAATTTTAATTACCTATTCTTCCTCTGATTGCAGACGCTTTAGGTGACATTTTCTGTTTTTTCTTCTTGCAGTCGATGGTCAATGAAACGGGAGCATTGCTTCTCCATTCAGCTTCATATCCATCATTACACATGGCACGACACGTTTCTTTCTTCGTGTTTCCTCGGCAATTTCCCCAGTGTCCGTGGAGAATACTGTGTTTATCGAGAACACTGACTTCACCCTAAAAGATCTTCTTTTAATTTCATCGATTCAAGACGTTCTATTTATTTAACTTAGCTCTAAAATTTGAGATTTAAAAGTTACGTGGAGCTTGATCCGTTTTTCCGTACGAACAAAATGAGCAAATAAAGATCAAATTTAAGATTTTCATGCACTTACGGATGATTTTGATTTCTCTCTTTCTTTGTCAAAGCAGGATTTAGGCTTCAGGCACGATTTTGGCCCCTTCATTTTGACTTTTGTTGGTTGAGGTCGCGTTGGCTTGCACAAAACTTTAAACTCCATCTTTTGCCACTGGCCACGTTCGCCTTCTTCCAGGCAGGAGGCTCTGCAACTTACAGTACCGGACGAGGCATCAGAGCAAGACCACTTTCCCAACTCTATTGGGTTCTTCAATGTGATATTCTTCGCCGTTTCTACGCAGTTCGCCATGTCGCCGGACGATCTCGCCGAGAACATCAACTGCTTGTTGACCCATTTATCTCTCCAAGCGCCCTGCGCCGAGCTGGCCAGTAGAACAATTTCAGAAAGCTTCATTTTCGCACGATGAATTCACTTCTCAGCTGTACAAAAAATAGAAACAAATGGTGGAAAATCCGACAATACAGTCGTTTTCACAAATTCAACGTTGCGAATATCTCTGTTCTCTGGGCCCTGTTCTGCAATCTGTATGACCTAGCGAGGTCGTCGCTTAAATATAAGGTACGTCCGGTGGCGCGCGTGTTAGATCACGCCGCAGCCGTCGCCGCGCGCTTGGTGTCGCTGTCCATTTACGCGAATTCTAGCGCGCGCGTCGCCCCGCGCTCCTTCCCAAGAGATTCCACTGTTCCTAGAAAACGTGAAGCTTCCGCTTAATTTTTCGTCTTATTTACTTCACTAGTCATAGGCTCAATTTCAAATAACTCCCGAAATAAATGGACTTAGGCCACGCTTTAAGTTTGAGAGTTTAATTGACGTAGATAAACAGTTTGATTGCCTAGTAATTTTCGTTTTATTCAATCTTTCTAAATAAACTCGAAATGAATGAAGAGAGCTCAGCAGATGTTTTCTTCTGGATTGAGTTCGTCGTTCATGTCATACTCCATCGCTCGATGAAGCAAATCTTTTACCGGAGTTATTCGCATAAAAATCTGAGGAATCCTCCTCATCGTTTAATCACGTGAGCGCCGGTTCCTGAATCTTTGAGTTGTTCGGAAATTGTTTTTGGAAAAGGCACTCGTTTATCCACGAAAGTCTGACGCAATTGAGCTCTTTTATAAAAACACCGTGAAGAGAAGATGGTTTATATGAAGGCTAATACCTTTTTCGGAGTCGTACATCATCTGCAGCGCGAAGAATCCCAACCGACGTGTGTTCTCGCGTTCAATGTCTATACTGCTCGAAGAGTTCTGAATTTTATTCTCGATCGCGCGAGAGAAAACGCTTCGGAGAATAATTCAGAACTCGAACTTGACGTCCTAAGCGCAGCACTGGTAAGGATGCCGAGAAAGGTAGCAGTGGCGATGTAACACGAAATTGAGCCCAGTTCTATTTTGCGAAAGTCATAATTATAGCGGGCTTATCAGCGCCGTCTCTCGTATCACACGCTGCTGAGTCGCCAATTGATTTTTAAAGGTACACAGGGGTACGATAAAAGTGCGAGTTCCGTTGTCCGCCCATTCAAATTACGTGATTAAGCAGACCTAAGGCCTTATCGGGGAGGAGGTGCCCGTTTCCGCGATCAATTCTAAAGAGGTTATCGGATCTTCGATACCACCGAAAATTGGCTCTCTCTCTCTCTTCAAACAGCGCCCCAAAAATGAACACGGTACTTAAACCTAAAACTATCGAGTGTCTAAAATGACGAAACCAACTCTTCGCTCATTTCCTCGTTGATCTAAAAGAAACAAAAAACTCTAGTAGAAGATATTTCAAAAGAAAAAATGCTCTCAGTGAAAATTACGAGACCAAGGTCCTTTTTCAGGGTTCATGTTTCGGTCGCAAAAGCTCCAGACTTGCTGTGGCTGACCCTCTAGCCACCGAGGTCGTCGAGCTGCTGCTGTGTTTGCGCCGCAGATGCGACTTCCCTGAAACTTGCTCATTTTTCCATTTTTGAATTGATGACCGATAAAAGACGCGGCATTCACGGAAATGGAAACATTACCCAACCCGAATTATCGCTTGCCATAAATAAAGAAGTACTTGAGCGGTATTTTCTAAATGCTAACTTGAAACTAGGTAATGATTTTAATTAATTCAATTTAAACGCGCCCAGAAGTCATGTTTAGGAGCAACTCAAGTTTTATCAAATGAAGTAATAGTCATCAAAGGATCTGGACTCGGCAACCTGTGCAGAAAACCTGAGTCAGAGTCTGAATGGTCTTTATTGAAAAGCTGCGACTTCGCAAAATTATCACTTCCATCTATTTTCTCAATTCTGGCGAAGACGCTTCGCGGCTTCATTCCTAAAACCCGCTACGCGGCTTTTCTTAAAAGACCTCTCAGACCCTGATTAACACACAGGTTCTACACAGGTTGCTGAGCCCATCAAACGATGCTGTTCTGAGCGGTCAACTTAATCTTTGCTGAAGCGACTCCTTAAAGAAATCGACTTAAAATAATCCAATTAATCCGGCGAAGATGGTAAGTACCGCGCCGTTCAAAATGAAATTAGTCTTCAAATAAAAGGTATTTTCATTGGCGATTAGCTCATTTTTACGTTTCTCAGCAGAAAATCCTCTCCTGATGAAATAACGAGTAAATGACTCAGGAGCTCATCTTTAAGTAACGTTTTTGAAGGCAAGAGTGGATTTATAGCTTTTTGATTTTGAGCATGTTGAATGAGAAGGATAGCATTTATGGATGGCGTATTTAGACTCTTGAATGATCCATGTTGACCCTCATTTTGTATAGAAGAGCTTCTGTCTGTTAAACAGCGGCCGTAACAGTAATTCTCCCTTTGGCTCTCTAAGCGGCTCCGTTTTAAGAAGATTTCGTTCAGTTGGAATATTAATCCTGTTGACGCGAATATTCGCAATTTTAAAGCAGAAGAACGTGTTGAATTTAACAGGGCGCATTCCAAACAAAATTATGCGAAAAAGAAGCGCCTCTAAAATTTAAAGAAAAGAATGTGATTTTCAAAATATGATTTTTGAAAATAACATAAGTCTAATTCAATAAAAAACATTTCCGCCAAAAATTGTTTTTAGAAATTAAAATGAGTAATTACTGTTTCTACTGTGGTTTCATGTAACTGCACAAGTGGACCACACGATTATTATTAGAACGTCTGTAAGTATCATGACTTTTTCCTGAGCGATCAGAATAGATGGCAACGAACAAGGCCACTGATAGTAGGATAAGTCCAAACAACAAGATCGAGCTAAAGCAGACCACGGACTCCATAAAGCGGCCTACTAAACGACCGATATTGAAATTCATTGGACTCTTCAATAAATGAACAGGGATTTTGCTACAACTACAAATCGCTATATCTAACCTGTCGAGCAAAGTCTACAAATATCGCAGAATTTGAGCAGTATGAGACTAGATCCAAGAACGACGGGAATATAACTAAAGAAGAACGTGAATTTCGCGAATATTTGCCAGCGGCTGATTTCGCGCCCGCCACCAGTAATTTGCGGTTGGTAACATTTCTGTCCTTTTCGATTTTACTGTAATGTGCGACCGACGATTACCTGTAGTCTGCGGCGGCGGGAAGAAAGTCTAGAGCGGCAGATACAGGAATGAATAAAAACGTTCCAGCTCCATATGCAAAGTCGCAGGACTGAAACAATGTTTACTAAGGGACTTCTTAAGGGTGGTCTAAACGGCTCAAAGCTCACGGGAGAGAAGCCTTTGATGCACATGTGACTGGTCTCAAGAATCGTGCGACCCGTTAATTACCAAGTTCTTCTTCTGTTTTACCTTGAAAGTAAGCTTCGCGTTGGAAATGGTTTCGATTTGTTGATGCGCGTGAGTAGGGTCGAAATCTGGGTAGGCAATTTCGTCGGTATTGTAGGAGTTGACAAATGTCTTAAAATTGATTAGCCAAGGACTGACTCTTCTTAAGTTCCGAGCTATGTCCGATTTTCCACCGACCTGTTTGAAGGCGTCCAATCGAGATTTACAGGCTTTTTTAAAGGAGCTGCCACTAAGGAGCACTACGGGAGCGAGCAGAACGACGACGACTTTTGCAATTGTGGATCCAAGCGGCTTAAACGATCGTTTAAGCTAAATGCGATAGATCTGCTCGCGTTTTACGCCGGCTTAGTGCGCTGTCCTCAGCTGTCGATTAGTTATGCTCCCCATGCTCAATCAAATTACTTTCTAAAAGGCATAACAGCTAGAAATTACAGCTAAAATTGACTTGAGCCCCTTCCCAGATATTCTATCATGGAATTCGCTTCATGTAATTTTCTACAAATAAATTATGGATCTCCCTAAATCACCAGCTACTAGCAAATTCCTCTAGGAAACTTGTTCTAAAATGAGCTTGTCCTAAATACTCTCCCCTTATTGTCAAAATGACACAGCTATAAATCCGGCAGCGAGGGTTGCTACACGTTCCAACAAATGCCAATAAAACAAGAGTTTTTGAGTAGCTGCCTCTTGCTACTACGGTAATTGAATTTCTAGTGCTCTTGGCGAAAATTTGACAACGCGTATACTGGACATTAAGGCAGAGGAAGACATGTACTTGGCGGCTCTTTGAATGTCCATAAAACGTTTCCAGAGCACTTGAGCCTAACGTGTTCGTGGCGCGTTTGATTGCAAAATTTCCAATCAGATATTAAGATTCCACTTTTACACTTGAACTGTAAATTCTCGCAAAATCCGAAAATCTAGCATAAGCTCTTTTTCGTAGTGGAATGTAATAGGCGCGGTTTAAAATGTCTATTGACGAGTTTTTCCGTAATCCAAATAGTAAAACCGTAATTATGTATGTTTCTAACCGACTGGATGGGTATACAAGCGTGGTTTTTAGTACTTACATGAGGAAGCCCGAAAATTGGAGAGGCGAGAGCGAGGAAGAGCTGGAAAGCGATTGCGATGAAAGCAGTGGATTTGAGAGGTCGATTGAGAAGGCGGCAGGTGAAGAGGATGAAGGAACGGACTGCACTGTTCATCACTAGCGGCGAGTCGAGGAAGAGAATCGCCTCCAACTAAGCAAAAAAACTGGAGTCATAACCGATGCGTGGGAGCGCGATAAAACGTGTGTGCGCTGGAGATATACGTAGCTCATTTAATCGCTATCTGCGGCCCAGAAACATATTTAGCGTGGACTGATTCGTGTGATTAAACTGCCCGACAACCACTTTTGGTCACTTTATCAAGCTTTATATACTCTCCCTTCTCACTTTACCCTTTTTTGAGCACGTTCTTTATCTTACTTTTCAAGCGTTCTTTTTTTTATAAAAAAATGTCACGACCATTTTTCAAAAGTGACACCCTTAATCATTCAATCAAAAAATGCAGCGACTGCGAGTTGAATTTAATTTCCACAAAGCGGAACGTGACACTTCCGGTCAGATCGACCAAGGATCTTTGACATTGGATTTTTTTGATCGGCCAAAAATTCCGGAACGAATTAGCGAAATGCGTGATTTTGATTATTCCAGAACCGCAGAACGTGAGACACTTACGATGTTGAAATGCTCCAAATCTTTGTTGGGCAAGATGACGCTGAAGTCGAACTGGTCTTCTGACAGATACGTCTGGCCGATCGTCTTCTTTAGCAAGTAATCAGCGAGCACGGGCTTTGATTGTTTTCATTTTAAGAATATCAATTCGAATCAACATTTTACATAGTGAGACCCTTATTTTTACGTATGAAAAGAACGCTAGTCCGGTTAACCATGTCTACAGTTCCTGAATTTCGTTAGAAAACATGCCTGATTGATGGAAATCCAAGTTATAAGGGTCATATCTAGGAAGGAATCCTTAAGAAGTACAGCAGTGTCTTCGTTTAGACAGTACTATTCAAGAGGGTCACTTGCAGGACTCCTACTACTCTACTTTGCTGTTCAACGCAAGCAGCAAACATTTTGTTTAACAATTCAGTAATCGACAATGTTCAAAAAAATTTCAAAAATTCAAAACCGAGAGGCTATGCAATACGGATAGGCGCGTCGTCGTTTTTTGTCGCCTTTCAAAAGGTGCTCAGAATGTCACTTATTGAAGCAACTGGCCCCAATATCCAGCTACTGTATGTTATACACTGCTAAGATTGAGAACGTTGGCGTGGTGGCTGATTGTTTATGCGGCAGTTGCGACTTTTCGCCGAATCGTGAGTCGCTCAAAAGAGGCTTAGGAAGGAACACAGTGATTCCAGTGACTCCATGAGCATTATAAGCTGTATTTATGTTTGCGACCGCAAGTGACCCACGCCCTTTGAAAGTACGATCGTGCTCTCCATTTTGCAATACTGGACGGAAAGCTGAAGGGGCGAGCGACCGCACGAGTCCGCCGCCCATCCGTCGACGCCGAGATCGATCAAAACGTGCACATTTCCAAAGGCATTGTGCAACGCGGAGAAGTGGAGAAGATTCCACTCAGTATCGACTTTAGAAACGATTGATAAGAGATTGTAACAACGACTGAGCCTTTATGTTCGACAGAAAAATTAGAAATTTGACCCTCTGTCTTATTGTTATTTATAGTTTCTACTTCCCCATCTGACATGTGCATGAACTAAGTGCGCCTTTTAGAGCTTTCCCAGAAGCCAATTTGCTTTGGCTTTCTCTCAAGAGTGATTTTCACCTTTGAATGGTCTTTTACGCTCCCCCTAGTTTTGGGGGGTTAATGTGCTTTGCCGCAATGCACGATTATATGGAACATCAAGTTGAATGAGAAAGGTTGCGTCACTGGAAAAAGGGATTAGGAGCGGTGGAAAATATCACGCGATGACTGCTTGGCTCTGGTGCCTGTCAAACCGATGCCAGATGACGCGCACTTCTCGAAAAAATGGAAAAAACGCGGACGTATTTTATTCAGCGCTCTTTCTTCAACCCGTTAGCTTGAGTTTGCGTTATGTCACAATCGAATTCAGCGACAAGAAATTCTAAAATCAGTTTGTCAGTTTATGCTGCTGAGGTACTAAATACCGATAATGTCGGTGCGTGTGTTTAGAAGTGCTGAATGTAGCGGCGTCAGGCCAAAATTATTTGACAAGGTCAGCGCCAGGTCGAATTCGGAAGTCAACTTCTGAATGGCATTGAGCGGCCAGTCGAAGCAGGCTTCTGACGGGTTCGTATGCGTTTCTTCCTTTCAAAGTTCACTCGACCTGTTTCCGGAAACGTAATCATCTTTTTTACACGGAAAAGGTTCACTCCCGGAAGCTTCTTTCAGGCCTCCTTTTTACCCCGATTCCCTCGTAATTAAAAAGTTCATCTAAGAAGGAAACAAGCTCGTGTTCAACAACAAAGAGAAAATCATTGGGAATATCTTTTAGATGAAACAAGCGATGCGCATTCTGAACCCGATGTCTTCGTGTGCGATCGTGCTACCGTCCGAATCGGGCTCGTTAATGTTTGCACCAGCAGAGACAAGATCGCAGATAAACTCGGAGAGGGTACAACCACAACTCGACAATTGACGATAACGACAATTATCAGAAAAACTTGGAAACTCTTCACTGAACAATTAAAAATCGTATTTCAAGCATCGTGAAGAAGAAACCGAACAGAATTTTTTTCGTGAAAAGAACTACAGTAGGCCCTACGCTAAGAAGACTTGAAGCCAATTATGTCCCTGTTGTTGAGCTTCCTCTAACATAAGCAAACGAGTTATCTTTCAAAAGGGCAAAAAATTACGCGTTTCCAAAGTGAGGGCTAAGCAAGATCGTATTTCTCGTATGATGCAACAGAATGGGCCTTTTTATTTTTGTGGCTGTACCGAACTTGAGGTTAAGATCAGCGCCCTCGAGCAACTCTGCTCTGTACTCCGCCAGTATTGTGCCTGGATCGCCGTCGCTCGGCTTGAAGGTGCGTTCTTCTACGTCTTGAACTCGTATGCTTCTCTTTGGATTCCGAAGAAGACTTTTGCTCGAGCTCACGCGGTCATCCTTACTCGGCGCCACCTGGTTTTTTGACCTTCTTATCAGTCATTTCGGCCTACAGTCATTTTCTGTAATTGTATCTTACTATTCGACTCTCTATGTCTAAAAAGTGCTTGCTAGGCAAAAGAGTTTAAATACTTTTGATTTAAATATTCAATATCTGTAGATGTCTTTTGGTGCCACTTGAACAGCTACTTTTAAATTTTAATGTACTGTTCTTTTACTTTTTGAAAATAGGGAGTTTAGGATCGGTTAACATCCTGATTGTAAAACTAGAACATCAATTATTATCCGGCTGCATTTGAGGTATTTTAGATAGGGCCGAGATATAATCCTATAGAAGGATGTTATCTTCTATCCAGGTTAGCTGTTGGAAATTCCGTCGCTAACCTCACGGAGCTGCGGTCGGAGGTCGTTATTTCCGTGCCGATGTGAGTAAAGAACCCAGAAACTAGCAGCTACTAGCAGTAGTGGTATACAAATTTTGCGAGCTCATTCCTTGGAACTTCCATTCTGGGGCGATTGTGGATGATGTTTGTTGTATTTCCCTTTTTGTGGCGATATTTTTGATATTTTTCAGTAATATTTAGTGAACCTCTGGATATCTACCGCTCCTGTCCACCGGGCACGCTCCGTGCATTTCGTATTTTGTTGAGCTTGGATCGTTTGAAAATGTCTATCCACGAACGGATGACTGCAAAAGGCTGCCACCTTATCTGCTTCCCTTTTCACGCCCTTGCAATTTCCTCTCCACACATTACGATAAAACAATACTTACCGTTCTAAGTACGGGCTATTAGCAGATATCTAGGAAGGGACAAGATATCTAGGCTTACCGGACTAAATTTCGGCCCATTTTTATAGCTTAGTTTGGGGGTCATATGATACAGTTTTAGAAAGCTTAGAAACTGGGCTTTCATTTGGGTACCATATCAAGGGGTTTGGGTCATGCCCGCAAGGCAATACATGGGACCTAAAGTTCCAAAATAGGCACTAGAACACTTCAAACTATTTTTCCAAGGCGGGCCGGCCTTTAAAGCCATCAAGACTCATATATTTAGAAAGCTCAGCCTATGAGCTTTCAGTAAAGCCCTAGAAATCTTAGTGCAAAGCCGCTTTTGACCACCTGGGGGCGCTAGAAATTGGGTTGAAAACTGGAAATTCCGGAAAACTCTTAGTAAAAGTTCTAAACCAGGTGGTAAGTCGAAGTGTTCGACCGCGATATATCTTTAATTTTCATTTTCATTCAATTTCCCGTCGAAAAATACCCATATTGCCATGTATGAGAAGGTTTCTAGAGTTGAACCGCGATGAACCACTCGGTTGACCACCCGGTTTGACGACGGTTCTCTAGCTTTTTAAAGCGTCAATTATTGCTAATATATGGTTTATAAACATTAATATAAGAGTAAAGCGCTCTAAATCCGAAATTTCCGGAATTTCCGGTTTATATTACGGAACTTCTAGCGCCCCTAGGTGGCCAAAAACGGCTTTGCACTAAGATTTCTAGGGCTTTACTGAAAGCTCAGAGGCTTAGCTTTCTAAATATATGAGTCTTAATGGCTTTAAAGGCCGGCCCGCCTTGGAAAAAATAGTTTGAAGTGTTCTAGTGCCTATTTTGGAACTTTAGGTCCCATGAATTGCCTTGCGGGCATGACCCAGACCCCCTTATATGGTGCCCAAATGAAAGCCCAGCTTCTGAGCTTTCTAAAACTGTGTCATATGACCCTCCAACTAAGTTAGAAAAATGGACCGAAATTCAGTCCGGTAAGCCTAAAGATATCTACTTGACTCTTTTTGATAAATCCGCGCTGAGTATACATTCGATAGCCTCATTCGGAATTTGAATGAAAATGTCATTTCATCTGATCTTTCAAATCCTATATCAAAGCGCTTTTTTCATAAACTAGCAACATTCCAGATTGCTGCGGCTTACGCATTTACGAACAAAAACAATGTGGAACACGGCTTGATTTAGAATGAGCGCGATTTTGAATGTTACGAGGGTCAGGTCATCTTCAACGAAGAAAACTTGAATTGGTGCCTCGTAATTGTCGAGACAGGTGTGGAAGAAGGTGGCACCCTTGACTGGTACAACAGCCGAGCCGCCAGCAATCGAGGGTTGTGGTGAGAGTGCGGTATAGAACTGATCCTCGTTAATGTCTTCTGGCTCTTCAGGGTTCCACCTCGCCCACTTGGGCCGCTTATACCAGGCTGCCTGCTCCTCGGCGGAGCGGAAGACATTGTCCGATCCAACGGAGCCGGCGTAAATCCCATTTGGGGTCGACCTTCCCGAGTTGATCTCATCTTCGTGGATCGGGCAGCTCTTAGCGCGAAAGATTTCTTTAGAAAGTTGTCGATTTTGAGACTTATCCAGTAAGGCGCGATTTCGCCTGTAAAAACGCATTGTTTTGTGTTGTAAGAATGTCAAACTTAGCTTGTCTTCGGCGTTTTTCCGCAGTTCGTCGGATTACTTCTTCTTTTTCGTTCTGTTTAGCGGATTTAACATTTTCTTCAAAATAATTGCAGCCTGACTCAATCTTTGTCAAAACACGCTTCCTGATCTTCAGCTGCCAGGAGCATTTTGTAAAACTTCGCCATGCGTTCCCCATCATGTTCACTGGCAAGTTGAAAGTTCCCATGATGATGGTGTCCAGCCATTTGTCCAAGGGAGCCAGACACTTGACGCCGTTTAGGCGGGCGCTTTGAGCTTCTAGTTGCTCTTTCGGTGTTGCTTTCTGCGTGCGCCGCATCGTGACGTTCACGCGTTTTTGCCGGACTTTTGCTCCCTTTTCGAGTGACTGTACATTTTCAAATTACTTTTCGCGCTGTTTAAATTACATAAACGGAGAAAAAATTGGTTAGTTACATTCTTCAGTTTTAACTACAGCTATTTCCAGTGGTTACAGTCTGAGCTCAGCAACCTGTATAGAAAACCTGAGTCAGGTTCTGAAAAGCTGTGTAGCGGCTTCGCAAGAAGTTAAAAATAGACTGAAATCGTGATGTTACGAAGCCGCCTTTCATCATTCGTTTTCCAGAACCTGACTCAGGCTTTCGATATAAGTTGCCGAGCCTTGGTTACAGTAGTAAAAAGGATATTGAATGATTCACGTCAATATCAGATCATTTTTACACTTTCCTGGAAAGCAGCAACTGATTGATTCTTTGCACTTTGCCAGGAAGTCTTGGAACTGGATCCAGCTAATCCAGCCGGGCTAACAATCAAGCTCGGTGCAAAAGGAGACGGAGTGAGAAGAGGACTTGGTGAATTCAGCGGCATTGAAAACGAGTTGCCTCCCAGCGAGTTCATAGCTGAGCCAGGTGTACTTTGAAACATTGGCGAGGGCGGATGCGGAAAGTTCAGAAGATTTGGCGAATTTGAGGGCTGCGCGATTCCTGGGGAAACGATCGGTGACGCCATCGAGAAGACGCTCGGCGAGAGAGTTGGAGGTTTTGGGGAAAGATGCGAGGAATTGTGCGGAGTGGCTAATTGGGGAATGGGGAGTTGATTGGCAGACATGTAACTGGTTGGAATTGGACTGCGAACGTCTTCCTGATTTTTTGAGATTCGGAGAGCGGCGAAATAATTCCGTATTCAATGATTTACTTTGGGGTGACTATTGAATTACTGCGGTAAAATGTGAACTGAAAAGAACGTGTTTACTTCAACTGATAGTCTTATCAAAAATACGACTAGAAGAAGGGTCGTTGTGATAGCGAGGCTAATGGCATTTTGGTTTCATCTTATCGATGCTCAATTTTTATTCAATTAAAATTTTTTCTGCTCCTTTTGAGTGAACTCCTTCAAGGGTCAAGGGAGGCTTAACTTGTCGGGGTACGTTTTCTGCGGGAAATGGCGGAAGGAGGGTGTATCCAAGTGGCCTCTTCGATCTCCACATGGACGGAGGATGCTACAGCTCGCGAACCTTTCCTGGATTAGATCTTCAAGTGATTTCCTTTTCTGAACAGTGCCGTCGGATCTCTTGATGTCGGCGGTAGACACTGTCTTCAAATTCGCAAACTGTGCGTTCATTTATCGAGCAAAAACTGGAAAAACAGTTGATTTATCTTCACTTTGTAATGCACTCACTCGAGAGTTCTAGTGAGCGCGCGAGCAACCGCTTCACTCTGAGATTGTACTCTATAAATAATATACTTGCGGAAAAATCAAAAATTTAGAAGCGCGAGAACTAGCTAACAAACTATGGCCTTTATGAACCTTTTGAATAATTCACAGCTAAATTCATTCTGAGGTTAATCGAAATATTTTGAAAGTAGTCTGATGTTGCCTGAATGATGTCTCATTCTCTTGATGAGGTTCCAATTTCGCCCGAGTCTGAGCGAGTTATGAGCGATATTTGAGCGATGAGCGAGTGGAGCCACAAATGTAACTCGAGAAACCGCTTGCGGCTTCGAGCTTAAATAAGAAAGCCGCGTGAGTCGCGGCTATAATCTTAGTTCTTGAAGCCGCAAGCGTCTTTTCAAGTTTTATCTATCGCTCCGCTCGCTCATCGCTCAAATCGCGCTCATAATTCGCTCACGCTTAGTAGAAATTGTAAATCTGCGTAGAGTTATGAGATGATCTGCTATTCCAGATTCATAGATTCATGGCAGTGCCATTAGCACAAATAAGTGATTTTTTAGTTATCTAGGACAAAATTAGGCGCATTAAAAGTAAGCGAGCTCTAGAACATCAATTATTATTCTTGAAACGTCCTTTACTTTCCAAGGACCTCAACTCGAAGCCTTCGATTATTATGATAATTACGAGTAGTTGGCCAGCTAAAAAGGTGGTTCAACGATATCTATTTGTTTTCGCGAGAGGAGAAAGGAGGATTTTATAACATCTCAGCGCGTTTCGAAACGTGCGCTGAGACATCCTACGAGCTTATCTCCCTAATTATCGAAGAAGATTATGATGATGATGCATAACATAAGCTGTAGCCTGCAGGAAGTGAACGACAAGCAAAAAGTTGGTCGCTCTTCAACTTAAAAAGTTAGAGTCGACAACTTTTTTCATTTGGCTCTTTTTTGGAGGTGGAAAATTGATTTTATTCAGAACACAGTAAAGTTAGAGGCTTTCTTTAGCTAGATCTCTGTTCTTGCCGTCGAACTTTTCGATGACGAGCCGGGTGATGAGTTCCTCGATTTCCGACGAATTGAGGAGCAGCATCATCCTTGAAGCCTCTTTACGACTCTTCGAATTGCTGAAAAAATAATCAGTTGTAAAAACACATCGAAAAAGTGACTTACCGAAGAAAATACTGTTTTCGGACTTTCAAACTTCGAAAGTTTCAAAGTGAGCGTCAAATGAACAACATGCCTCACAACGGGATCGATTCTAGAGACGATTTTACTATTTTTCGAAAAATCATCCGATCAGCGAAAAACACCGCCTTTCTCGAAGAAATTACAGTAAAGAGAGACAAAAACGATTAAAATCAAATTATTTGCTTAGCCGCTGAATATATCCGAGATGAAAGATGGCTGTTGTTTTAAACGGTTATTTGCGTTGAAGAGAAAAAAGTCGCACGGACGCAGATGAAATTAGCAGAGAAGAAGCTTCAGGATGGGCTCGAAAACCTGTGTAGAAAACCTGAGTCAGGTTCTCCAGAAAGGTTGCCGAGCCTAGGTTACAGTAAAAGAGACCGGTGAACTGTTAGGGTAACGTTTTTGTGAGGAGCTTCCTTATTTACTTCCGGCGAAAGCACTTTTGAACTCCTTGAAGAGCTCAACCTTATTCTCAACGGACTCGGCGTATTGTTTCACTTTTAAACCGTCGACTCGCGCCGTTGGAAAATATTTAGCCTTATCACACCGCACGAGAGCTCAATAGAAAGACATTTATGTCGTCAGTATAAAATAACAGAAGCGGGAAAGAGAGAATAGGCTCGTTTAGGAGAGGCATTCCAACGTGTCGAATACAAACTGCTTACATGGGGCAATTAAGGAAGGCGACCTGCCCAGCGCAAGAAATTTATCATCCTTGGGGCGGCGGCGAAATTACGACAGGCGGAATGGAGAAAGCGCAAAGATGGAATTTGGAGTTGGCGGCTACACGACGTGAAGCAATCGCCTTCCGACAGAACAACCGAGGCACGTTTGCCAACTTGCCAGCTTACTATTACACACCTGTTCAGAGAGCATGCGCGCGCACCAGGCCAGCGCAATCTTCGAGCAGGTAGGATTCGCTTACCAAATTACGCTCTCTTCAAAGCAGCAACAAGAAGGCTCCTTCTTGCGAAATAAGCGAAACCGCTATCTCCACAAAAATGCGGACAATAGTCTAAATTGCAGCTTTATTTACCTAAATACCCGTAAATTGGGGGTTGATGTCCTCAACGCTTGGATGCCTTTCTTTTCCACACGTAACAGGATTACTGCTTCCGGAGGCGACCTAACAGGATTGGAAGCTCTTTTTCGTGCAAAAGCTCCATCAATGCACTCAAAAATGCTCTCTGCTTTTGCAGTAGCTGCTCATATGCAACGAGAGCCGTGAAAATCAACGTGTTCACCTAATCCGGAGAGTTTCTCTAGGTTCGCACTAAGTTGAGTTCAGTCCAAGCGAATCTACAAGTCTGGCAAGAACCTGGGCTCGGCAACCTGTGTAAAAACCTGAGTCAGGTTCTTAAGAACCTAAATGAAAAGCCGCGTAGACTTTTCATTTCGGCCTTTCAGAACCTGACTAAGATTTTCTACACAGGTTACCGATCCTAGGCAAGAACTTTGAAAGTCAGCGAGTGAAGGCTTCACTTTCCAGGAATGGCTGATTGACGAACACACGTGCCGTGATTGAGATGTTCGCACGAGAAAAGGTGCACACTCGCAAATGACTATGCTTTGCCTAGATTCGAGATCAGTGTATTCTGACTCCCTGCTCATTCATCTCGCGCTTTCTCTTTTCGAAATTGAGCGCAAAAGCCAAGCGTACCCAGCGATTTGAGGCCCAGGAGGTGGCAATTATTGAAAGCTAAGGCTTTGATCAGTACGTATTTCGCGGTCCGCGGTTCGCACCCTTGTGGCAGCCAGTAATACTCATCTAGATGTTCTATTAAAAAATGAAATCTAGCCGTGAAAAGATATCGTGCGCTATTGAAGAAAACAGAAGAAGATCCAGCAAGCATTCGCATACAAGATTCGCACAAGTATGTTGATGACTACAACAACCTGTGTAGAAACCTGAGTCAGGGAAAGAGCATAGCGGTTTGGCCAAAATTACCATCTGAGCCTGATTCAGGTTTTTACGCAGGTTCCCCCAGTCACTACCCGAATGGGTTAACTCAGCTTTTATTTCAAAGACTTTGCCCGCCGTTCCAGAACCAGAAGATCAACGACTTTTTTGACGAGCTGCAAAAGGAACTGATTTCAAAAGAAAATTACTGTCGCTCCGCGAATGATCCGTTCACTTCTTCAAACATTCCAAGACTCGGGAATTTTTCGCCAAGCCATAATGATTACGAGCAGCAAGTACTAAAATCGACGTGGAAATATTTCACGGTCTCGAGTGCTCAGCTCCCAATTTTCGCTCTTCTATAACGTTTTTAAGTAAACGTGCTTTTAACTCGTTCCCTCGCCGGTTAATTAGTGCCCTCTGAGTCAACCTAGCGCGCCGTAACTTTCGTTTCCATTAGACGCTATTTTATAAACAGTGAGTCGGTTTCAGCTGTTCTGGTGCTTAAAAACACCAGTAGAGAAGCCTCTTCTAGTGTATATTTAGAGAGAGAGCTGGGCGGTAAACTGGCGGATGATCCGC